GTTTATTTAAATATATTATATACGTCCCTACTCGTCTTTAGAGTAAACTTAGATGTTTAAAATAATTATTTTTGCTTTCTTCTTCGTGGTCTTCACTTTAAACTTTCGTATAAAATAATTTATGTTCTATAAACTATTCTTTATTTTTTCGTTTTTCCTTAGCCGTCTAAAATTTCAAGTTGTGTCGTTGGCAAGTCAGCATGATAGTCTTTATAGGCCAAGAATTGCTCTTTTGGGGACATTACAGTATGAACTCACTTTAACAACACTGACTACAGCAATGTGCTTCTGCGTAAACACTAATAAATACTGACGACGAAAACAAAATAAAAATGACGTACAATACAGTCGAGGGATTCCCCATAAAACATAGACGGAAAGAGTTGCCAATTTGGAAGAACCAAATAAAAATAATGTACAATACAATCGAGGAATTTTCCATTTAACATAAGCGAAGGCCTGCCAACTTGGGATATTTTAATTCCTTACTTTTTTATTTAAATTTGAAAAACAATGTTACGTAACGAACGCGTTGTTCTAACCTCCTTCCCGTCCCTGTAACGCGTCGTAATATTTTACAAGACCCCATCTCCCCAAAATACGTTACGTAATATTTGAACGCCCCCTTAGTCCTCAGGGCTCAGGGGTGACAGCGCATCTGAACTTTGATTCTTAATCAAGGACAAATTTAGATGTCTATGGGCGACACTTAACATATGATTTTTCTGGTATTTTCCATGGTCGCCCCTTACGAAAGCCACGGGTCAACTGGAATGATGAATTAATTCTCTTATGCCCCAGTATACGCCATTATTATAATGCTGTATTACAAGGAGATTTGTGAAAAAGATTCAAGAAAAATAATTTATCTATGATTGTAAATAGTAAACAGTATACTGGCGGTCAATCAAACCAAACTACATTTAATTCTCTTATGCCCCAGTATACGCCATTATTATAATGCTGTATTACAAGGAGATTTGTGAAAAAGATTCAAGAAAAATAATTTATCTATGATTGTAAATAGTAAACAGTATACTGGCGGTCAATCAAACCAAACTACATAATATAATCTAGTGCCTAAGTCTCAATATACACTGCTGCGGAACGGAATATAAGCGAATTTTTGTAACTAAATTGTACACAGTAAAATGAGTTTTATGTTAATTGTGTAACGCGTAAACTAGATATGAGCCATTTCCACAGACTACATTAGCTACGGGAATACTCGAGAATTCGCCGAAGGACGCGCGATTTCTTTTTTGGCTCACATCTAGTTTGCGCGTAACGCAATTAACATAAAACTCATTTTACTATGTACAACTTCGTTACGAAAATTCGCTTCCATTCCGTTCCGCAGCAGTATAAACCGAGTCTAAGATATAATGTACTGAGAGTGTTTCTGAATGGTCCTTTGAGCTCCAGCTCAAAGGACCATTCAGAAAATCTTACGAAAGTAACAATTCTGTGATTAAATTCTCTATGATTTGTTAAAAAACAATTGAGTACTTTATTATTATTATTAAAAACTTCATGCAATATGTATAGGCGGAATTAATGCATGGCGCATTCTCTACCAGTCTATGTTTGGGTGATGCATAGATAAAAATATGAAGAAGGTGTGTGGAACGATAGATAACAATTATGTAAATTAAAGTATATAAATATAAAACAAAATAATACATAAACTTACATATTAAAATATTATTTAATACATGCATAGTAATTTAGTGTTATCATGCATAGTAGTTTAATACGTAGTATTATAATATATTAATTATACATGTAACAAAAACCCAGCGTATAGAAATTTTTTATATTAAAAAAAAAAACAGATTTAAAAAATAATTTGCAAATTGTGGTTGTTTTATTATTTAAAAAAAAATTTAAAAAAAAATGTGGTCGGGTTTTCCGAAAAACAAAAATTATTCCTATATGCTTGAATACCGATTCTGATAACGCAGTTAAAGGGAACCACAGGGTTTTGGTTACATGTTGTATACATAAAAATAATAAATTACATACATTACTTGCATACTTTATTGCAATTTTTTCACTGCCTTTATTTCAATTTATTGTATTATTTTTGACAGTAATTATTATTGAAGCGCCGAAGTTGCGAACTGATAGACAAAATATTACAATAAATTATTTTAGATAGATACTTGTTTATAAAGCGTCACATGGAACAACGATAAATCGACGTAAACATAAAGTCAATTAATTTAGAAGACGTATAATTTATTTTTAATATAGATTTTATCTTAATGTAGTTACAGTTCATTTCACGTTAATCGAAGACTACATGGTTTTTATAATAAGCAATAGACTGAAAAGTTGCGTCTGTCACTATGATAGCATGCAAACAAACACGATTGTATGAAGGCAATGCCAAGGTATATTGTTCCATTTGAGTGATGAGGCAAGCAGTCGCAAAGATTTCATGTTGTTTGTAAAATATACTCTGGTATTATTTCTTATACGTAAAGTTTTAGTGTTGCATGATAGATTTATCATTTTATCTAACAAAACCAGAGCGCCGGAATTAATGTGCTAAACTACAAATAATACAGTGTATATGTGGTACAACCTTATCCTTTAGAGACGTGTATGCCACAGCTTTTCAACAGTTACGCACTAAAAGGCTTTTACGTGCGAAAAAGGGGTTTATATGCTGTTTTTTTTTAAATAAACGTTACCCTCACACTAGGATGTTCTCCTGTATCGTGGGGACAGCTTAAAACATAAATTGTACAAGGTCAAACATCCAGACCCGGAACAATTATTTGTAGGATTCGTGTGGAATTCGAACCTGCGATACCCACCACAGCAACCCAATGCTAACCCAGCCGTCACCACACGGAGTTTTCTATCAGACCTATTATTAATTAGATATTTTTGAATCCCTGTTGAAATTTCCCAACTTATTATGTGATTTGTTATAAGAATTAACTAAACCATGTAGGCTTCTTGGAGGTGAGAATATAAAGTGTTGGTTGACATAAAATAAGTTTTACTTAATACAAATAATGAACACAAATAAGCTTTTATAGCTATAAATAAACTCCATTATTAAAAGATTTCGGTAAAAGTAAATTCTTAACTACTTTACGTAAAAAGTTTTATCACAATTTAATTTTTAATCAAACGTAGCACTTGTGTTAGAATTACGCAAAAATTGCCGTTTCCGAAATTATTTTAAGCATCAAGAAAGATTAAACTAAACATATTTTGTTATTATTTAGTAGAGTAGATATTTATCAGTATGAATAACAACTTATCTCATCAAATTCTCCAATAACTTAAAAAATATCAACGAAAATAAAATAGCCGGCTCAATTCTGGCTAAATACGTGGCCTATGAATTAGATCGTGTACAAACAAAAAGCGCTCTTTTATTATTATGCTCACACCGAAAAAGCCTTAGAAATTTAGGGTAATTAAATAATTAATTAAAATTAAATTAAACTATTAATTAATTAAGTCTTGTAAAAAATAGTGTTCTCGCAAAATTTATTTACTTATCAACTGCCTTCTAAATTACTTCTCTAGTCGATTTCTCTTTTTAAAGAAACAGGTAATATACATCCGATATTAAGGGAGGAGCTACAATCATAGATCTGAACCACATTTAATACAAAAAATTCGAAAATTTAAAAAATATAGACACTGATTCTTCATACAAAATAAACAAGGTAGAGTAAAAATTTGTATGAAGAGGCAGTTTTAATTTTCCTTCGGTTGTATATACCCTTTTTTAAATCTACACGCCGTATAAACATTACTAAAAACGACATTTATGAAATATTAAAAATTATACTACCACGACAAAAGTAAAAGGAATATTTGTGGAAAAAAAATAGTAAGTTAATATTTAATTAAGAAGAGCAACCTTCACCTGTGATCTCGAACGTATTTATGCACGGGGGAGAGCGCCCGCTCTAATGGCTGGGAAAGTAAAATAGCAAAGCTAGACGGAAGTTCATATTTATCACTCCACCAAACCGAGCGGCAGACCGGCGGTGTCCAAAGGTGTTTGTAATAATTTAAACTGAGACAGGTAAATGTATGAAAAAGCAAAAAGAACGATGCCATTAGCTAACTCTTTCTTTTCTTAGTGTTCAAACACTCTTATTTTAGTGGCTATAGAGGTGAAAATAGATAAAAGTCGAAATATGAAAAAAATTTCGAGTGCATCCCACGGTGGGATGGTGGTGCTACGTAATTTGGAAATCCACCGTGGGTGGGCTAGCACTCTAAGGGTTGTGGCACAAACGGGTCGGCTCGACCGGGAAAAGACCACGCTCTCGTAGAATAACAGCGTAGAAAAGCATCCTAGGGCTGCTATGTTTGTTATCGTGAGTATAGAGAAACGGAGATTCTTTTTACTGGAAACCAGGCCTTCCTTCTTAGACCCCAGGGGTGACACGCATTTACATTTTGGTTCCTAAACGAGGATAGATTTGGGTGCCTAGGGGCAACAATATCCATGTGCACATGTACACTCTACAACTAAGCCAAACCCACCATCGTAAGATAAAATATCTGTAGGCACTTACTTATGCATGGTAGCGCCACGCAGCAAGTACATTATGGTTGTAGCAAGAATGGGTCGGCTCGACCGGGGTAGGACGACGCTCTCACAGAGTACAAATAGCGGCTTAATGATATTGTGTTTTGTATGTTGAGTGTAGAGAACCGGATAACCTTTTTACTGGAAGCGAGGCATTACATCGTAGTCCTCAGGAGTGACAACGCATCTGCGTTTTGATTCTTAATCGAGGATAAATGTAGATGTCTATAAGCCACAGCATCCACTTACAATCAGGCTCGACTGTGTGCTCGTTTGTCATCCTCTTATATTAAAAAAAAACGTATCTATACCATTAAAATCGGAACACAACAATGGGTGAAACATAGCAGTTGTTGAGTGTAGTTTTGAGGGTAGTATAAAAATATCGACCCGCATGTATATTATTCTAACAATCGTGGTTTTTTAGGTGTGCTGTACGCGGGCCTGATGATCACCAAATCGGGCCCGATGACCCTCGAATTCAACTGCAGATTCGGTGACCCTGAAACGCAAGTGCTTATGATGTTGTTGGAGAGCGATCTCTATGACATAATGAAGGTAAATGTGTTTTATATTATGGTTTTATATGTTTGAAATAGTTTCATAATAATAATATATGAAAATGCCCTCCAGACCAAATGTCGGTCACTTAATATTTCGGCCAGTTCCTAGGTATAACAGAGATTAGCCATCTACGCAGGACAATTCTTTATTGCACAGGTGCATTCTCTAATACTTTACTCTCAAAGTCCGATGGAGCGGCAATCCAACCCGACCGGCGAAAGATCAGGCGCACCAATGTCAACTTCTTGACTTCTGGCTGCTATTGAGAATTTCACAAACCAATTACTGATTTTGACCCGACCCGAGATTCAAACTCTGGAACTCATAATCAGGAACTCATGATTTCAGGCTTGCGTGGACGGCAACCTGAAGCAACAGCAAGTTCAATGGAACACGAAGATGTCAGCAGTGGGAGTTGTGATCGCCTCCAAGGGATACCCGGAGACATCCACTAAAGGCTGCGTTATAAGCGGTGAGATCATGTTCATTGGATGTATGTGTTTTTTTCCACTGATATATAAGTTGATGATGATGATGAATATTGTCCAAGCTGACAAATATTTACAGAAAACCTATCACTCGCAACATAACGCTTTAAAGGCTTATGAACGCAAACATGTATTTTTTATATAAATAAACGTGGCATTGTGATTAGGGTTTGGGTCCCGGGACGTCTCCTGTCTCGAAGTCCCGGGACTTTTCGTAATTTTAGTTGTCTCGAGTCCCGGGACTTTCGGGTCGAGACTCGAGGCGATACAAGATTGTCGAAATTGTTATGTAATCATTTTTATTTTCAAATAATTGAAGGAGCCTAGAGCCATCTGTTAGTTTAATGTCTAGTCTACTATGTAACTACTGAACACACAACAATAAATGCGTTTGTTGCGCTGCCATCACGCCGCCATATTAGTTGTTCTGTGACGTTGGGATTATGATTGTGTCTGTGTCAGTTGATTCAGTCAGTTGTCAATTTCATTTATGATGTGAGTGTGGTGTTGTGCTTCTTTTGAACTCAGTTTACTATTGGATGTTAAAACAAGGTAGAATTCCATCATTGTGATGGCGGAACGGTTTTTGAAGCTCAAAAATTGCGTGAAGAAAGCGTTGATTGATTTAAACATCTTAGACAAATGAAATGAAGACAATCTTCTTCTTTTGTGGTCCATTGTTGATTTTTTGCAGTTAGTCAAGATAGCTGTGGAAGCTATAGGCCGACAAAATGCTTCCTTACTTACAGCTGTAGCAATAATTGACGAGTTGCTCAAAAAAAATCAATCGACAACGACTAATAATGATTTGGCGAAGCGGTTCTTTGAAACTGTGAAAGCTCACCTAGAAGAGAGAAGACCACAACGAGTTGTATGCTTGTTAAAATATGTGCACACCGGCCACTACACCTCACAGTCTCAAAACACGGACTTTTTACCTCGAATATTAGTAAAACTGCACTAATTTGCTTTGCGGACGAACTGTAACAATACAAAATATAAATACAAAAAGAAATAGGCATATTTTCGGAATGCCTTTGTAGACTTTTCGAAACTATGCCTTGTATCCGGGCACCAGATGTGGAAATAATGGGCGCTGAACCTAGTACTAGTAGCTCTCAAGTACACAATGAGCTTGACGAGTATTTTGTAAATAAAATGGAACAAGCAAAAAATTTTCTTAAAAGTCTCCAAGTCTCGGGAATTCCCGGGACTTTGACTGTACGCTGTCTCGTGTCCCGGGACTTTGAATTTGTCAGGAATTCCTAAACCCTAATTGTGATATTCCTAGTCCACTCAAAATAAAAAATAAATAAAAAAGCGATAACAAATATAATAAATTAAAAGAAATATAAACATAACATAAACACTCACGCCTGTCACCCAGAGAGGTAGGCAGAGACTACAGACTTCAATTTGGCGCGATCCTGACACATCTATTTCGCCTCCTCCACATTAATTACCCTACCACCATACACACCTACGCATACATGCTCGCCGGATAAGGGTACTCCTAATTTGGCCTATTTTCAATATATCGCCAATTTTCTCGATAAACTTTCGCCTAGGACGTTCCTTTCCGATCACTTCCATTCACTTCTGCTACATAAATTTGCTTTGTCACTCAAAGAAATAAAGAGAATATAATATTTTGTTATACAGAACAGGCAGGCAGACTTTGGATACTATAAGTCAGCTTTTGATTTGCTATCGTTGCCATTCTTGGCATTTGGTTTGGCAACAGCTGTTTTTATTATTTTAAGCTTAGTGTTAAGCTGTTACCGTGTAGTGGCGGTAGAAATATCCAATACCCCATATCGTCCCGTAGGTGTCCTTAGGGGCAAAATAGGGAAACAAATCAGGAGATGGGCAGCTGCGTCTTCATAATAACGACTTAAAAAAATTATGCTTGTCAACCCGCTTGCAAGGGTGGCAACTGTGGCAATATCCCCCTTATGAGGCAATCTATGGGGGAGGGCCATGTTCGGAAGTGGACTTTAAAAGGATGTAATGGTAAGTTGTTATCTGGAAGATGGAGATGTTCATATTTCCCTCCATCGCCTCTGAAACCTCAACCCGTGGGTGTATGACACCCATGGGGATATGGGGTAATGGATAATCTACATGCGTTTATTATATTCTAGGTCATTATTGTCTTTACCTATTATATGCTAAAAAGGTATAGAATAAAACTAATTTTACTGACGTTATCCTATTTAATATTAACTTTTCAACTCCTAACGTTTTTCTAACAAAGGCTCTTCAACTTTAAAAATATAAAGTTTTGGTCCAATCTGCGCAGAAAGATCTTACAGTATCTTGAAGTCTTGCATATATGCTTGGGTTTCAATTTAATCTTATTAGTTTCTGAATCCCAAGCAAGTGTTAGTACCACCGAGCTGTATTTTTCATTGAAATGAAATTAGGATGTTAAAATGAAATGCGATAAAATCCGTAAAATTGGTTGTATTTTCTATGATATACCCTCAGTCATATAAAATTATGCACTAGTTATTAAGATTATCCCTATTGCTTTATTCATTTTGTATTCGCGTAAATATAATTAATCATTATTTGAGGGTATAGATACGTAGGCGGTCCCATAATGAATTGGCCTAACTATGAACCAATGAAGGAAATGAAACGAATCCAATTTTATTTTTTAATATAATCACCATGAATACTAACACACTTCTGACATCTGTGAATCAACATCTCTAAACCTTTATAAAAACAATCACATTTTTTATCCTCAAAATGACTGAAGACGGCCGCCTGCAACTCTTCATCGCTTGAAAATTTTCTTCCTCTTAAGTCCCGCTTTAAATTTGGAAATAAATAATAGTCGGACGGGGCCATGTCTGGACTGTAAGGTGGATGTTGAACTTCTGTGAACCCGCATTGACGAACTGCATCCTTCGAAACACCAGCGGTATGAAGAGGGGCGTTGTCATGGAGCAACAGGACACCTTTAGACAGCTTGCCTCTTCGTTTTTCCTTTATCTTGTCTCGTAATTTATATATTAAAGAAGCATAATATTCGCCGTTCACGACTGTATTACGTTCTTTAAAATCCACCATCAAAATGCCTTGAAAATCCCAAAATATTGTGCACATCAGTTTTTTAGTCGATTGTTGCACCTTTGCCTTTCTAGGGGGCTTTTCACCCTTATAACGCCATTCGATTGACTCGCGCTTGCTTTGTGGATCATAATACAAGATCATAGTTTCATCACCAGTCACTAGTCGCTCGATCACAGTCTTTGGATTTTCGCCACAAAGATCCAAAAACTCCGAAGCGCAGCGCACTCTTTCCTGTCTCTGTACCGCTGAAAGAAGTTTCGGTACCCATCTTGCACTCACTTTTTTCATGTGAAGATGTTCATGGATCGCGCGATGAACGGTACTCTTAGAGAGCCCAAAACTTGCTGCAATTTCTCTAATCTTCAAACGGCGGTCACTCAGAACCTCCTCTTCGATAAGAGCAATCGTTTCGGGAGTGAGCACTTCCACAGGTCAACCGTCGTGGCCGTCGTCTTCGACGGTTTCTCTCCCGAGGCGAAACTCTTTCACCCAATTTTTCACTGTGCTATAGGAGGGGACAGACTCCTTATACACGCCATCCAATCGTTCTTTTATTTGGGCAGGGGATAAACCTTCTTTAAACAGAAACTTTATGACACTTCGATACTCAGTTTTCGACATTTTGAAAAAATACGCGACTCTCGTAATTCAAATGCCTGTTAAACTAAGACTAAGCATTTCATGTCGATGCATGTTTCTTATATTAAGTGCACGATAAACGTACTATTTAATGCAACACAACATGTAGCGACATGTCGCGTTGAACTATATCAGGCCAGTTCATTATGGGACCGTCTGGTATAGCGGCGAGAATCGTGATCATTAAGTCACACACAGTCCACCTGATGGTAAGTGAATGCTGTGGCCCACAGACATCTACATCTTTCCTCGATTACGAATGAAAATGCAAATGTGTTGTCACTCGTGAGGACTAAGATGGAATGCCTTTTTTCCAGTAAAAAGTGTATCCGGTTCTCTACACTCACCATACGAAACACAGCAGCATTAAGCTACTAATTTACGCTTGTATTTTATAAGAGCGTGGTCCTTCCCCAGTCGAGCCGACCCATTTGTGCTACAACTATACTACTAATATAACTGCAGCATTGCTCTATCACGTAATGTGCATTTGTGCACGTACATACTTCATCTGCACACGAATGTCACGTGAATTACCAATGAATGAAGAAGAATAACTAAAGGATCAATTACCTGAAAGAACGTTTACCATACTCACTTCGCGCCCTTGTACTTTATCAAAGAGACGTATGCTCACGAGTCGTGGCGGCGATTATATTATATCCGTGTTTAGGGCTGTCGCAAGTGTCGTCGCAGCCGGAGCTGGCGGTGTTCCACAGCGGCGTGGCTCGTGGCGCGAACGGGTCGCTGGTGTCATGGGGCGGGCGCGTGCTGCTGGTGGCGGCCCGCGCGCCAGCGCTGCGCGCCGCCGCGGCCGCTGCCACCGCCGCCGCCGCCGCTATCGACTTCCCCGGCGCGCACTACCGCAAGGACATCGCTCACCGCGCCTTCTCCAAGTGAGTCATGCTCGCCTGGTACATTGCAATTATACCCTGCCGATGCATTGTGCTTTCTTAGTAGACTGTAACCGCACTTATCAAGTTGTAGCAATAAGACTTTTTACCTTCTCTAAGTAAAATACCCACTTAATATCATGTCATACCTTCCAACAACCTTGATGCTTCCAAATACGTCATGCTTTCCTGAATATTTTCACTGCCCCTAGTATTAGGATTGGAACTATAGGAGTACCTTGGTGCCTACTACCACAATAACATTGCTCTTTGCGAATTCTCTAAGTGATTCATGCTGCCTGGTACATTACGCCCACACTCGCACCTAAGTCAGGTTCGCCTGTGATTATCACATTTGCATCTTCTACAAGTGAATCATGTTTGCCTGGTACGTTGCAACCTAATTATCCTTTCAAATGCATCATACTCTCCTAGTAAATTATTACAGCACATAGAATTAAATTGTAAGTTGCAACAATAAGAGAGCCTTCGCTATTATCTTCTCTAAGTAAGCTATGCTCTCCTGGTGATTACAACCACACTATCACCTCTCAATTAACTCATGTTCATCATACCCAAAGCAGATAAGATTTAAAAGTTGTAGTGATAACATCACTTTTACTTTTACTTGGTAGTAGGACTGCCTTAGGACTACTCTACTGTGTCTGGATAGGTGTTCCGGTGTAAAGGTTAAACAGAGCCAGTATAATTACATGCTGTGAGGCATGCTATCTTGGTCTTCTGAGGTGACATCGCATAGATGGCCTTCTATATTTGAAGTTATTTGCACGTATCCCATCGGCAGTTGCCACTTACTATCAACTGGACTGTAAATTTGATTGTCACTTCAATTGTATAAAATCTTTGCATCTAGATTGTAAAAGGCATAGTTTACTTACACAGTTACATAGTCCATAAAATAGTTTATTCACACTTGGGCACATTTTTATTAACTTTTATTAATAATACTGGATGACCTTTTTTACCGTCTGAAAAAATAGGGTGTAACATGTGAACAGAGTAGAAGCCTATGGCACTGATATTTTACAAAAAATAAAAACAAAAGTTTTGAATATAAACTTTTGAAAAAAAAATTGTACAATTACTTTGCCCTTGAGCCTGTAACCCTGCGAAGTGACAGTCAAAGATGCCTAATAAATTTATTATTTTATTGAAGTTCGTAAAGTACGGTGGATATGATTTGAATTACGATAGATTTTAGTTAATTTAATTCAAAATATTTGTTTTTATTTTTTGTAAAATATTAGTGCGATAGGCCTACTCCGTTCACACCCTATTTTTTCCAGACGGAAAAATGTCATCCAGTATAATAACTCAAAACAAAACATCTTAATGTTTTATAATATTATATTGATCCAACGCGCGATCTCAAACGTCTTAGAATCAAGCTTTCGTAGAATACTAACGTAACGTTTTTGCTTTTGTAACAAGTCTTATTCCACTAAAAACAGCTTAAAATTATAATTCACTAAACACTATAGTAATTAGTATCAAATTAATTGCTTGTGTTGCTTAATTTTCACTCATTGACCGTTAGCTAGCTTCTATATGTATAAAATTTATCCGCACTCATTTGCCTTTGTGTTTTATTACAATTGTCATTTCTCTGCGTATGTTGTGTATACGTGTATCAATTTGTTTCAGTTCGAAATCACTTGAGCAGTGAACGGGTTTGGTTAAAAAGAAATCTATATCATACATTATCATAACGGCTTTAAACTCGTAAACCATTGTGATTGCTATACACTTGGAATGTGATGGTTTGAAGTTCGAAGTGACATTCGATTTTTGATTTTATAATAAACTTTTTTTTTATATTTCGTTTTTGATTTCGTTCCCTGGCCATGCTAACATAGATATCATCTAGAACTTAGGGTTAAATATGCATGGGCATGTAAGGGGTACTTAATTTACAAGACTAATCGGTGCGTAACATATTTGTAGTCGTAAAATGCAGTTAATATAGTAACTACATTTAATGCAACCTTGTTATTGACTGTGTGAGAATATCCACTAACCCATATCATCCCGTGGGTGTCATAAGAGGCGGCAGAGGGGAGCTGAACTAGGAAATGAGCAGCAGCATCTTCCTGGTAACACCTGAATAAAAACAATCCATAATGGGGGCGTACGATCAACAATGGACTTTAGATAATCTGTAATGGTAATACTAAGGTATTTTGATGTCAATTGCTGTCTTCTTCTTCGTCAGCCCATTAAAGTTCATGCTAGACATGGGCCTTTCGCCCGTGGGGAGAATTTGCCTTGGCAATCGCAGATTTAAGCTGAACGCACATTTGTCAGTACCGTACGCGCCATACGCGCCGCATTTTAAAATTCGTTGTATAAAATTATATGAAACCTCGCACATTACAGGAGAAAATCCTAGTGTAGGGGTAACGTTTTTTAAACAACAAAAAAAAATTACAGCCGCACCGTACGCGCCGCATTTTATAAAATGCGGTAGGCATCCGAATATTGAAGGACGCATGCTGATGACGTCATATAATGCGGCACGTTCGGCGCGTGCTGATACTCAGTGTTGTCTAATTTTGCCAACTTAGGGGATTTTCCACTAACACTGGTGGTTTCTACTTTCGTTTCGAAATATATTTTGAATTTTATTTTATTCTTCATCTGCTAATAAGCAAGCTATTACAACATCTTTTCCGCAGCGATCAGTGTCACTGTACCGTTTCACACCAGTGGTTGGAAAAATCTGTAAAAGTTGTTAGCAATACAAAATAATTGCGTACGGCGCGTACGTACAAATGTGCGAGGCCATCCAAAATACGGCGCGTACGGTGCGGTACAAATGTGCGTTCAGCTTAAAACGTCTCGCCTTTTTGACGCTGCAACTCGTCGTTGGTCTGTGTATTTTATACATGACGTAAACAATATGATAACCATAATGTTTACGTTAAGTATCCCGCCATCTATCGGAAGCCATGAGACCTTTCTGACATATATTGACTTCTAACGATACCCTTTTTTTTACGATACGATAACGATACCCTCGGGAGGAAATAGGGTGTCTTACGCCGCATAAAATTACAATTAATAGTTTTGTCCGCATAATATGTAATATTAATGTGAACGCTTATTCCTTGATTGCGATGGCATAAATCATGAATTTTGACTTGAGTGATTCTATACCTGGCAGTAGGTACTATAGCTGGAGCAAAAGTACTTTTAGTACCAATTTATTTAAGAGACGTAAAATTAAAGTAAAATAAGTGCCATATACATCCTCTTCATTATAAGTAATATCTCGTTAATCCGACCTGACCTACGGAGTACTTCAATCTACCATCAGTTAATACTAGATTTCGTACTATAATACACCGGCACAAAATTTTCAGGTCGGTAATCTGCCATCATATATGATATATCATATCACACAGGTGAATGGCAGATATACTCTATCCTGTACCTATGTTCATATACTTTTACAAGACCGAGATGAAATATCAAGAAATAAATTTCAATTTGTATGTCTATAATACGTATTTAATGTATTTTTTTTAATTTTTTATTGTAACGTTTTTAATAGGGGTGTTACGGAAAAGGTTATATCGGAATCGGAACCGGAATCGGGGATGAAAGCAGAAGAGATAGGTATGTCTTAAGGGCACGTCTAATAAAATAAAATTACACAAATACTTCCAACTGTCTTCGCCTTAACTGACAATTCGGCACTATGAACTGCATAAGTCGTCTGAATTCAATACCTTTCACGAAATTGAAGGGAAGATCTTGCAAAGCAATCATTTCAGGGAGGTCCCCAGCATAAACTTGTTCGTCGCTACCGTCACCATCGCGTCGCTATGCATCGACCTCCGATATAACTTCCGATTAAAATTTTTTCGGAACCGAAATCGGAATCGATGGTGCAAAATCAATTGGAAGTTCCGAACTTTCGCAATCAGAATCGAACCTCCTTAATATCTCTAGTTTTTAATAATATCGTGAGAGTTCTGGAATTATAATATAATCTTGTTATTTCAGGTTAAACGGTCTCTCGTACCTTGAAAGTGGTGTAGATATAGACGCGGCCGCGACACTTGTTCGCAAGATAGAGCCTTTAGCGACTGCAACACATCGGCCAGGAGTTTTGGGAAGGCTAGGTTGCTTCAGTGGACTGTTCCAGCTGTCTGCTATGGACCCGGAGCTTAAGGATCCCGTGCTCGTGCAGGGGACCGATGGCGTTGGGACCAAGCTAAAGGTAAACATAAAAAAGTATTTTAATTGGGTATTTAACTCGACACTGTACTAGTCAATTGATGTACTAGTTTTCTACTAAATGAAGATATCTATGGGCCACAACATCCACTTATACTTCTACTTATCATCGGGTGGAAAATTCGCTCTTTTGTCATCTTATTCTTTAATAAAATTGTAATAATTTTAAGACTTATGAAAACAAATATATTTAGGAGATTTTATGAGGATATTGTGTAATAACGTCATAGTTTTTACTGACAAGTTTTCATCTTTTAGATATTAAAAATCTAATCGGACTTAAAATGCAGAATCGACCAAGTTTTGCGACACTACTAAAAGTAAATTCAAGTTATACGATATTATAGTAATTTACTGATTGTGGTGCCCTAAGATATTGTCAATAAAAGTTCATTACTAACACGTTGTTGAAAAATAAGTTATGCATCCCCCCCTCCAACACACACACCGTTTCATTTACTTCAGTAAGTAAATTCTATTGCTTTGTTTGGTTGCAGATAGCACAACGGATGCAGAAGTTCGACACAATCGGACAGGATCTGGTGGCTATGTGCGCGAACGACATCCTTTGCGCTGGTGCTGAGCCGTTCGCGTTCCTCGACTACACGGCGTGCGGCCGCCTGCAGGTAGAGGTGGCCGTCACCATCGTGCGAGGCGTCGCCGACGCATGCCGGCTGGCTGGCTGCGCTTTGCTCGGTAAATTCACCCTTATACGTATGAGCTTAAGGTTCACAATTGACGTGTGGGTCGTACTGTGAGAGAACACATCCACGATTACATGGTGTGAGGCCGCATGCAGGTGGACGTGGACGCTAGCATAGTGCGTAGCATCGCCGCCGTAGTTGGCCAGCTGTGCACTGCATGGTAAATACACCCTTATATCTACAGTATTAACGTTAATAATTGCCATGTTGTCGCACTCTAAGAGAATTCATCCTCGACTACATGACGTGCAGCCGCCTGCGCGCTGTTTGGTAAATACACCCTTATATCTACAGTGTTAAGGTTTAAAATTGTCGTATAGTTATAGCGCAATAGAATCCTCGACTAGATGGCGTGCGTGTGCCTGAAAGTTAGGTGAAGCCGACTGCACGCTGCTTGGTGGATATACCCTTATCTTTATATAGTTAAAGTTGTATTATAGTATAAAGTTGACCTCGACTACATGGAGTGCGTCCGCCTGCAGGTGTCTACTTGACCATTTTTTATTAAGATTTTTGTCTTAGATGCTCGTCCTTTAAGTCATGTCTTCATTTCATTGGGATCTTTGTTTTTATAGATATTTTCATCACAATATGCTGATGCGTCACATTGCGAAGTTTTTGGGAGATATTGACGACATGTCAACGTTCAAGTTCATAAGGCGCCTAAGCGATCAAAATAACTTGAGGCTTATATCAAAATCGAAGCACTTGTTTCGTCGTTTTCTCAAGTAATTCACATGCGTAAACACTTAATACATAAAATCGCAACACTTTTACGTATCAAAATCCATTTCAAACAGTTATTTAAACGATAAAATAGGAGCAACAATTCGCCGACGGTCAAATTCCTGCCAAAACCTTATTATTTTTACTTAACTTTACTAAACTTTTTACTTTTAGAATTTTCTTAGCCAAACGACCCATTGCTGTGTATGCGCTTCTTCGATTTACTTAGGCATTGGCATTTTAAGTCTATCACTAGACAAAAGGCTTTCCAAGAATAAACCGGCTCTAAGTGTTTTATAACTATCGTAAGCATTCTTTTAAATAGGTGGCGAAACGGCCGAAATGCCCACCATGTACGACGTTGGCAAGTACGACTTGGCCGGGTTTGCAGTGGGCGTTGTGGACAACAGCAAGCAACTCCCACGCGTGGGCGATATGCGCGCTGGTGACAAGGTTCTGGCGCTGCCCTCTACCGGCGTGCACAGCAACGGCTACAGCCTCGTGCAGCGTATCATGAGCGAGACTGGCCACAGGTAAGTTCCATAGCTGGCTCAAATGGCTTAATATTATAATTTAGATATGTATTAAACACTGACTTTTTTACGTTTTAAAACTTTGTTACATATAAAAAGTTTTAACTTTTAATTTGAATGCTACCCGCATTTTGCATAGTCATCTCTTATGTCACTCATGCTAAGAAATGGGTTGCTTGGATTAAATTCTGTAATGTCGCCAGAACTTGTTAGAATATTTCCTACAATACGAGAGGAATGTGTAGTGGTGAAATGTTTAGGGGTGATGGTGATGAGGATGATAATGATAAAGGCGCAGTTGACTTGGATTTTCACTGTGTTCGAAATCGACTAAGTGATCTCTATAATGTGATTAAATACAATTGTTTTCATTGGATCTGTATGACCGGGAAAGAACCACACTGAGAAAATACCAAAATAAGCCATACAAAGCACAATACTGCTGCATTTCATATGGTGAGTCCGAAGAACCGAGATTCTTTTACTGGTATAGAGACATTCCATCTTAGTCAAAATGTAAACGCATTTAAATTTTTATTCCTAATTGTGGATATAGGTAAACTTCGTAGTCAGCCATTTTACTGACTATTTATTTATCCATGTAGGTTTCAATGTGCTTTAAATATTCGACCAATATCTTTTAAAATAATACCAATGATCCTTTTTTTTTTTAAATTGACTGTAATAACCGTCCTAATGTTTGAATATCAGTTGTTAAGGTTAATTCCCTTTAACATTCCATAATTAAATGTATAATGTAATCCCCAGCTATCACGAAAAAGCGGCGTTCACGACTTCGGGCAAGTCGTACGGCGAGGAGTTCTTGGTGCCGACCGGTATCTACGTTAAGGCGCTGTTGCCCGCGGTGAAGAAGGGCCTCATCAAGGGACTCGCGCACATCACCGGCGGCGGCCTGCTGGAGAACATCCCGCGCGTGCTGCCGCCGCACCTGCGCGTTAAATTGGACGCTACGACCTTCAGGATAAAGCCCATTTTCGGCTGGCTGCAAGCCAAAGGTAATGGTTCAATGAATGGAATATACTTTATTGTACACCAGAAATGCATATGAGGGAGAAAAAAAAAACATAAATTATTGAAAGGTACGATTGGCGGCCTTATCGCTTAGAAGCTATCTCTACTAGGTATTATCCTCTGCAATTAAGTCAAGATCTTTGTTTAATAAGCCTATAGTATTGGGTAAATCCACCAATTTTTAAAAACAAACAAACAATTTTCAAAAACTTGAAAGTAATGGAATTATGGATATGGGGCGGTAGTCAGAGGCTGTGGAAGAATTTGCTTTTTGGGTATAGGAGTAATGTGGGCTTCTTTCGAGGAAAAGGGAAAAGAATCGTGCCCACTTTCCATACGTTTAAAAACCTGATAGTGAAAGTGTATGTATAGTTATCAGATATACATAGTAGAAACGCTGCATGTAAGTTTATAAAATAATGTCATATAGTCATTTTTATGATTTAAACACTACGAAGCCCAAAAATATTAATGTTCCTTTTTAGGTTAGGATTTGCCGTTACCAAATAGGTAATAAAGAAATAAATGTGCTATAACTTATTATTAACGCTCGCTGTCAAGATAGGAATACTTACCTAGCTATGGTCTAAAACGACTTTTTTACTCAGTGAATTCCTTAAAACCAATAAAAATCCTTAAAGCCCCTAAATCACTGCTTACTCTCGATGATTCTCACTATAATTGAGTGTCAAGCACTATCTGCTGTTTCTCCAACACACATAAATACCTACTGTAGATAGTTTCTATATCTCTAGAAAGTCTAACTTATTTCTAGTATTGTCAAAATGATCACTTAAACACATTTCATTGACCTATGGTACATATTTACATACATAGTACATACCTGAGATGAACAAATGGGAATAACAAATAAAAAAAACTATGTCAAAGTGGAACGGTTTATTAATTATCAACGAAGGACTGCGCCGATGCCTATTGCAGAACTGTCTGAACTCAATGACTGAATGATTAATTTATTTAATCTCTATATAATTTTTATTAATCTGTACTATACAAAGAATGGTAAAGAAACTTACTGATTAAATGAAGCAAAATAATTCATAAAACTCAGAAGCAGAGTTGAATAAAGTAGCAGTGTGCAAAATGGAACGTCCTAGAAAAACGATAGTTGAGATGCGTTCAAAAAAAATATATATAATACGTTATAAAACGTATAATAATACGTTTATCCTTGACGTAGAATAAACTTGAATAAATATTAAAAAATATTTTTCCCGCGTTTCTTTTAAGATTGTGATAAGCGTTATTAATTAACAACTCGGCTGAATTTTAAGATCTATTTCATTTATATACATAGTGAGGTGAAAAATGGGCATCTTTCTTTCCATATGAAATGGAATAATGGACAATGCAACAAAAAATACTTATTTTTTTAAGTGTTTTTCCGATAGAGGGATGTACAAGAAAAGACCCATGTCTTTTGGTTTTTTTAGGCCTGTAGTTTATTAAATATAAATTTTTGAAAAAATATTTTTTTTTCGTCGGAATTGACGTCATCTAGAGGCATTGTAAAATGCGATGCCCGTGCCTACGTTTTTCATGCTTCCGGAAAAAAAAAGTAAGACCGACGTGACGGCTGACAGAAGTAACCTATAACCTAAACTATCTCCTGTGTTCGACACCTAAACGCCCTTTATCAATTAAAAATGAAGACCAGCGATGGATTTGTACGTGCCGACAGCCAAAACCTTACAAAAGTGGATCTTCCGATGCTTTTGTAATATATGCACAACAATGACTGCATAATGCTAGTGAAATAAGAGGAGCCAAAATACTCATGTCGTCTCGAGATCCCTATGTTGATACAACTATTGGTTACGTAGAAGTTAAGAGAGAAGGAAGCAAATGTGTTTTGAAAGCAAAAGTGACCCCAGAGCACCGGATTCGAACAAAAATGTACGCGGTTTCCATTACTATAAATGAAGACAGTGAAGTTATTGAAAACTTAATCTGTGATGACTGTGCTGCAGGTGGCTGCAAACATGGAATTTGTTTTGCACACTGGATCATCAAAAGGACTGAAGAGCCATCAGTTACATGTGTCTCTTGCTACTGGCAGAAACCCAGACTCAGTGAAGCCATCACCAGTGATATGCCACTGCTAGCTTCAAACCTAGGAAAGAAGAAGACTTTTGAAAAAATCCACTCCACTATAACTTTGCATAACATATTAGAAGAATGTAAGAAAAGGAAATCGACTTCCTCACTTCTTGTTAATTACTCTAAGTACAAAGAAGAATCTCTTGATGATTTCAGTGTATTTCATATTATGTTAAATTATTATAAGCATTATAAGCAGTTTAAAGATATAGGAGTATATTTTTATAGTTTTAAGATTTACAGTACAAATCTAATCACAAATGAATTAGTACATGAAATTGAACGGGCAACAAAAAACCAAGTGTATAGTGTTTTATGGTATTCTTTGAGACAGGGGAGAGTTACTGCCTCTAATATTTACAACACAATAAATTGCACAACTGCTAATGGTGTACTGGTCAAATCTATAATCGGTGGGTACAAAGTGCCAGAAACCCGAGCAATACAAAGAGGCAAACGTCTGGAGAACTTGGTAAAAAAAGAGGTAGAGGTTGAAATTGATGTGGAGATGAAGGACTGTGGCTTCGTGCTGGTATCTGGCATTATAGGGGCTTCAGATGGAATCACTGACAAATATGTTGTTGAAGTAAAATTTCCATCAAAGGAAGCTTCAATAAAAAAGTATGTAAACAGCAAACAAAGAAAGGGGACTTTTTTGTATTGCGGACCCAAAATTTAAACAAAATAAAAAATAAACAAAGTTTGGATACTTTATGACAAAGAATACATACATTAAAATTAAATGAAGAAGCTGAAAAATTTTTGGCAACAGTTTATTTTTAACAATGTTGTAGAATGTGTTAAGTTAGGTCAAATGTAAATATTTTGTTTTTATTGTGTTGTAAAATATGTTAATTACTTTTACAAAAATGAAGAACATGGAATAAACATTTTTGACTTCGACTATTATTATTATCCAACTAAAATCATTCATCTATTCTTCTATACTAATATTAATATTTTAAAGAGTTAAATGTTTCTAACCTTGTTTGATGTATAATGATTTCTTAAATTTACGCGAATACTACACATTGAATAAAACTAAATTTACGGATTCTATCGCGTTTATTTAACTGATTTTACTTATTTTTAATTCCCGACGTTTCGGGTGCTTTACAGCGCCCATGGTCACGAGGGGGGGACTAAGATGTTTGACGTCCCAATGTCATTGTTAGCCCGGCTACCTGCAGTTTTTGAATATTAATTTTTGGTCCGACTTATGCAAAATTAATATTCAAAAACTGAAGGTAGCCGGGTTAACAATGACATTGGGACGTCAAACATCTCAGCCCCCCCCCCTCCCCGTGTCCATGGGTGCTGTAAAGCACCAGAAACGTCGGGAATTAAAAATAAGTAAAATCAGTTAAATAAACGCCATAGAATCCGTAAATTTAGTTTTATTCAATTGTTTGATGTATATTTGTTTGTAGGGTATCTTTGAAAGTACTGATCCGATCATGAAAATTATTTTATACAGGAAGCTACATTATCTGTGGGTGCTATGGGCTATAGTTTTCCCAAAGTCCCGGGAAAGCATTTAGTCCTATATATTTCATAGTTAAAGTGAATGTCTTATTTTATAGTAACTAGTGACAAAGTTCTTCAAAAAATCCCCTAGATTTTTGTGAAATAATAAAAAAAATTCTTTTAAGAATAAGATTTTTATTAGCCATAACAATAACAGGTACACATTCATTTATAAAGAAATAACTTAATAATCAATATCATTAACCTTAAGTTAAAATATGTTTTGTGCTGTTCTTTCAGTTTCACTTATTAAAGTGTTTTAGGGACAAAACATATTTTAACTTAAGAGTTTATGAAAACAGAAAAAAATTATCACAAGTAAAATAAAACGTAATTATTGATTGTTAGCAAGTTGTCCCATTTTCAACTCGTCCCATGTGAGAAACTTGTCCTATTTGTAGCTCGTTCGTTCCGTTCGCAACTCGTCCTGTTCGCGACTCGCTTCATTCACATATCCCATCAACATAGAATAACCATTAAATCCTGAGACATGTTTAACTTGTTTAAAATATTATCGAAATAAGTTCAGCTTTTTAAGCATATAAATGTCACAAACAGATAGTAAAATTGTGTGAATTCAAAAGATGAAATCCTTAATATTAATATGGATTTCAAAATAAAACACAATATGAGATATGAATAGAATAGAAATAAATATATATATAATAGAATAGAGATAGTCAACAGTAGTTCTTATATCATTTCAAAATCAACATAATTATCGTTTATATTCTAATAATCAATCAGCATAAATGTTCACCTAGTTTCACCTTATAGGTAATAATAATAATGTTTTTTGTTACCTATTTAAACTTTACTAGTTGTAAAATTTTACCTTTTTTTCAAAACATTATTATGAGATGAAAAATTATGCTGAATGATATTAAAATACAAATTATAATTATGTCAATTTTGAAATGAATAATAAGACGAATTATTGTTGATTATCTCTATTGTGTTTTATTTTAAAATCCATATCAATGTTATTTTGAATTCATACAATTTGACTATCTGTTTGTGATGTGCCATTATATGCCTAAACAGCTGAACTGATTTCGATAACAAATAGTTCAAACAGGTCACAGGATTTTATGTTCTATTTTGATGGGACGAGTCGCGAACAGGATGATTTGTAACCAGGACGAGTTACGAATTGGACAAGTTTCTCACATAGGACGAGTTACGAATGGGACAACCTGCTAACGACCTTAAATTATGTACTAAAATCTAAAAAATAAGTTAGATTTCAGTATTATAGGTACAAAAGAACTAAAAATATTTAATTAAAATACTAAAAATAAGAATGGACTGTATTACAAGAAGTAAGCAAATTTAAAAGATATATGCATGACACCTAGCAAGTAGTTTGGCTAAGTGGAGGCTCGCAACGTTGTATCTTGTTTCAACATCAAATAACAGAAATCAAAATCAACAAAATGTTAAGTTAAAATCAAATTATTTATTTTTAAGTAGGAATTTTACAAGATTCTCTTTTAGAAAGTCAAAACTAATTAATAAAATGGTGTAGTTAACTCACAAAAATGTAAACAAATACATGTCAAAAGTTAAAAAGACTACCAATTATTTCTTTCATTGAGTTGGTGTAACAGTCCTTACCGACCAGCAGTCTTTGTCGTTGTCTTTGCAGTTATAATCATCTGTCTTGTAATATAATAGTCAATGTAAATCAATAGTTAAAAATTCTTTATTATGGGTGATTATTGCAAGTTTATTTTAAATTTATTATTTATAGTTGTATGAGGCTTCAAAAATTTGTACAATCTCACTCTTCGTATCAATATTTCTATATGTATTATCATGATATCTATCAATTTGTATTCAATAGCCTCCATTTTGGTCATCTTTTTATTGGCTGACGAAGTAACTTTACAGGTTTTTTTGTAAAATACTCTCAAGATGTTTGAAACCTATACAAACTGTTTGACAACACACTGAGACAACAACTGAGTTTAACTTAACAATGTCAAGGAAACCACTTTCCTCTACTAATTTAACATCTGTGATTCTCCCAGCGTATCCTTAGCTATAAAGGTTATGAAATCATCAGGAGTGGCACTTATTAAATATTTTATGGTATTGCAGTTTTTGTGCTGCGACCATGTAGCTGATTGTTCTACAGGTTTGATTGGTTTTTCTATTTCTATCTCAAAACAATTTATAATGCTCGGTACATTAGAATAGTCTTTATTTTTTTTAAAAGAAAGTGGCAAGTTAATAAATTGTGTACATGTTGTGGAAATCATATCTAAAACCCTAGGGAAAATTCTTTGGAGTGTTCTCTCTGATACATTAAACAAATCAGCTATCTTATAAAATGGATCACCATGTTTTAATTTAAAGAGCACTGTTAAAATATGTACTGCTGGCATTTTTGTATCATTACAAATGTAATCGATTAACCAAGAATAGTTTTTGGGAACACCCAAATATCTATCAGGAGACCTTTCTACTTTTTTTTTTAAAATCAAGGGCAAGAGGCACATCGTATTCTTTTAATGTAGAATCAGTATTTGTTTCTTGCCCTGATATTTCCACAGTACTTCCTTGTGTAGAAGGCAAATATTCTTCACATATAATATCTTCTACTTGACATGTAAGTCCTTGTTTCTTTCTAACTGTATTTACTGCTTGTTCAACCATAGAGATTTCTACTTGTGTGCTGGAATGCTTCAGGCTTACATCACAGCTTTTTCTTCTGAAAATTTCTGTCTTGAACATCCAGGTACATTGTGTTCTGCAAGAGTAACTGGAGTGAGATTAGGTTCATATAATTTCATGGAAAGTAATTTTTCCGGTACTGAAATTTTAACCGAGGATTATATTTCCTAAGTTTCCATTGAAAATAGTTTTCCATGTACTCTTCAACCTGAAATAAAAGTAATATTTTAATTTATCAAGAAATTAGAATGCTCTGTCAGCACATCAATTATTTCTACGTACAATGTTTTAACATTGATTCAGTAGTTTTAGGTGGTTAGTATAGAAACCTGCCACAAGAAATCAGTTTGCAAATTTAATAACATTAGATTCCAAAAAGATTGCTTATTCCATATTTACCTTAAAATATAATGCAAAACTGTGTGATTTAGAAAAAAAAATACAAAATCAGACAATAGTTCCTACTTTTTAAGATTAATTATTTAAGGTTAGGTTATTATTAAACTATTATTCGTTTACAATTTTGTTCATGGGTCACAACACACGATTGCAATAGGAACAGCTTCAGCTGTCTTAGTCATAGATATAAGAAATAAGGAGATATGCTCAGTAGTTGAAAATGTATCAGAACCCGGTGTCTCCAGTTGGCCCCTACCACGCGCCAACTACTACATATGCACATCAGTAAAAGCAATAGATACACAATCGCGCACACACTCGCATTTTATAAATCAGAACATACTACACAACCAATTATAAACCTTATCTCATCATACGCAGCGTGCATTTACCATGCACCGTACAAAACTTATTCACACAAAAACATCTGTCGCTATCATTCACTCACAAAAGCCGGCAGCGGCTGCTTCACGAAACTATCGTGTGAGTGAGAGTATCAGTAAAACACTTATCCATTGCGCTATTAGACCAGCTGATTCACAGGTCGATTTGTACTAAGCAAGCAATGGTTTTTGTTCCTAATGAAAACATTTGATTTGGTTTTTCATCGTATTTCTAGTACCACGAAGTAATGTTTTAATAAATTGAATAAGAAAAACATTAATATTTTAGTACTTACGTGTGAAATGAGATGCCATCTTTCATGTAATTCACAATACAGCTGTTATTTTTGCAAACAATCACAGAACAACGCGGCATTTTGTCAAAAATCACGAGCAGTGAAGACATCACAAGTTGACATTCGACTAATTACCGAAACTGGCATCAGGCCGCTTTGCGGCCAGATGCGTTCGCAAGTGCCACGCCTCCTTGCCATATCTCCTGTTGTTTATATGATCTGAGGTCTTAGTCGTGATTACGGACTACCTAGATAGACATATTATAGCTATATAACCCTAACCTCGTTGTTGCTATCACATTATAATATCTGATATAGATCTTACTTACATTAATGTGATCCTCACATATGTGCAAACTTGACGTGAGCACATCGGAACGACCTGCTGCTTTACACCAAGCTTTTCGGTTATTAAAAGGAACTTTAAAAATATTTTGTTGGGAATCTTTGTCGAACTATTTTTGCAAGTTGTAACGAAACAATACAGAAACTTCATCGGCTTCCAAGATTCGTCCTTGCTATCCATTTTAATTTATCTTTTTTATTTATAAGTGATTGTATTCGTTAAATACACACAAACAAACTTGAAAAAAAAAACGGTAACGAGATGCAATGCAATGCAACAAAAGAACAGAAGCGTACAAAAAAACCCCAACAACAAAAGAGAAAAAAACACACCTCCACATTCATCAGACGAAAAAAACATAAAAGTTTGACAGCAGTTTGACAGTTACGTTTGATGCAATTATACTTTTTTACTCGGGGACGACGCGAGCAAAGGAAATATTCACATTCATGCCGAGGTGTGACGTCACCGACGTATTTTAAATTTTTTTTTTCAAAAAATATTTTTTAAAAATTTCAAAGTATTTTTCTTGAATTCTCCAGAGGTTAATCTAGAACTGTTATTTTTTATTTTAACAATTTATTTTTTGTCGTATTGTCCATTAAATATAGATTTTATAACAGGAGTCAAGATATCGATAATAGGAATAATCCATTTTATGACTAATGCGGTATGTACCAATGGCATCAGAATTGACCTCAATAATGCTTTTCCTAACATCACTATCAGTGATTTGACTAAAAATAAAAGCAGGATTGTTAGATTTGGGTATAGCTGAAATTTGAGTTTAATTTTGTATTTTTGTGACATCTATGGCACAGGAAGAGAAATGCTGATTTAGCTGGTTTGTCAATCCTTTTGAAGCTACTGTTTTGACTCGCTTTCCCAACTCCAAGAGACATAAGAAATTTCCATACTCTGCCGGAATCATCTTCATCTTGTATAGATTTATGAATGTAGCGTCGTTTATCTCACACACAACCTGTTGCAGTGATTTCGAATATTTTTATATTTATCTCTATTGGTATCATAGTTATCAAATTTATACCTAGCTTTAGTCGAAGTTTTCATCTGTTGCAAATTTGAACTCCTGAATAAGCCAGGCAGTAGGCAAGTGCCGAAGTAAGCCGGACCGGCCAAATTGGAGCATGAACGTCGTAGAGTTGTTTTAAAAGAGAATTAAAGCTATCGACCGTTTCGTCGATGTTAGCTCTAGTAAAAGCAACATTCCAATCGATTACATCATATCTCAGACGATCTAAATGAAAAATACTCCGTAGAAGGATTCTCGATTTAGGTATAGGTGGTCAAAATTAGTTGAAAGCCTGGAAGAGCATATGATGTGTACAAGCATGGCTCAAGTCAGGATACGGAGATCAAAATAGCATGTATGTTTTTGTTATCAAATGTGGAGAGCATGTCTGGATATTGTACTGGGATACTCTGGGCATTAATATGGATGCTGTTGAAATTTTTCAGTACATATGGGAAGTGCGAATCTAATGTTTAATTAAGAGAAGGGAGACTGTAGAAACTATAACTACTATTCAATTCATCAGAGAATCAGGGTGAAAAAAGGAGTCTTCACACTTATCATAAATGACATGAATCTATAATTTTTTTTATATAGGATAAGGGTGACAAATGAGTGCACAGTTCACCTGATGGTAAGTGGATGCTGTGGCCCATAGATATCTACATTTATCCTCAAATCAAAATGCTGATGCATTAGCACTCCTGATGACTAAGATGGAATGCCTCGTTTCCAGTAAAAAGGCTCTCTGGTTCTCTTTACTGACTATACGAAACACAGCGTCATTGAGCTGCTATTTTACGCTGTTATTCTGTGAAAGCCTGGTCCTGCCCTGGTCGAGTCGACCCATTCGTGCTATCACTATAATGTACCTGCAGCACCATAATATAGCTACAATTTTGTTGACAGGCTTGGTTTCGGACTTTGAAATGCTGCGCACCTTCAACTGTGGAGTGGGTATGGTAGCAATTGTTGACCCCTCGTGTGTTGACGAATTGCTGGCTATGGTAACAGAACCCATTGACGTCATCGGTGTCGTTGAGGCTATGGGGAAGGAAGGTAAGTGATGACTTTATGTATGGAGGGTTTATCACCATCGCCACATTGGGTTGGTGATTTGCGATCGCAGTAACACTTTTTCACACTTTTGTTACTGTTCCCGTTGCCATTCTGGGACTTTTGCAAAGGGCTTAAAAGAGATGGCTCTAACGCCATCTATCGGAATCAAGGTGATCTTTTTAGCGTTTCGTATAATCTGTTTTTACAATACCCACAGCATGAAGGTTAGAGAACAGGAGAACGATCGCCGTAGAAAATAGTGTCCCAGAAATATGGACACCATAAGTGAGGCGCTGCGATCACTAAGTTCGGTTAATAAAAGTCATTTTCAGTCTTTTTTCCGATCAGATGCTAAACCACTTGCACATCCACGCACAATAAAATATTTCTCCATTTTTTAATGTTTCTTTTTGTCAAAAATTACAAAATTACGGAGCATGAAAATTTTCTCATTAAAAATGTAATGAAAATTTGTACATTATTCAACTAACTTCATCTACTTGTACTCATAAACAGCTAACTTCGCAGTCACTACTCACCGACGTCAGCGCCGCTATGTATTCTACAATTTTCAAGGACAGGCGGGCTATGCTTTAGTACGTAGTGATCGTTCTCCTGTTCTCTAACCTCCATGACCCACAGGATGAATTAGAGTCACGGATTCATTTAGGCAGCTACTACTCGGCACCTTAATAATAAAATTAGACTTTTTATATAAAAAGACTAAAATTTTATTAATAGCTTATAACACTTAAAAATATATCTGGCTATACTTTTCTTACAATTTTTAGCGCTTTCTGTCACCATCTTGCTTGGAGACATTTTGTATAAAATGAGTAGGGTCTCCTTACCTTATCCCTCCGTTGTTTACGTTGGTCCGGGATATTTAAGTGTCGTTTTGGCAGGAGGTCACCAAGTGGTGGTGGAAAACTTCAAAGAAGCAATGGAGCCCCTAACGTCACCGTACTCTAGCGGACAGCAAATGCCTCAGAAGTCACTCTCGTATAAAGACAGCGGCGTAGATATCGAGGCTGGCGATTCACTTGTGTCGCTTATCAAGCCTTTAGCGAGGTGCGTAAGTTAATATATATAGACATTTAAAAATATTACAACTTCATAGGCAAATGTATCATACATTATTTTTCATTTTAAACCATTCATTTTTTTATTTATTTGTTAGTAAATACTAATAACGCTATTTACATTACTAATGCCCTAGTAAACCACTCCAAGTAAACTGAAAGATGCTTGTGTCAAGATTGGTTCAAAACAGTAGTCAAAAAGCGGATTCGAACCCACGTCCCTGTCTTTGCAGACTGCACCCCACCAATAGACTACTACCCCTTCATATTCCATTAAATAAATATACACTAGGGTGTTGATAATCCGAACATATACACAAAATAAAATTAAAAGAAATATTTACACCCTATTTGGCTGTTAACCACTGTAAATTTTTGTAGATGTAATATGTTTATCAATAAATTACTTTAAAAGTATTTTTTTAATGAATTAGATTTTATAATTGAAAGTGAATACAAATTTTAATCAATATGTATTTTAATGACAAAGAAAATGCTTTATCCGTCAATTTACGCAATAACATTTTTTTTTTTGAAATAGTATTATCTATTTGTTCGTCTAGACTATACAGGCATTCGAATTATCAGGGATTCGGATTATCTTGGCTCTATTGTAATCAGATTATGATGTCTAACAATTAATATAAATAACATTGAGGTCAAATATTTTAGAAACGATTATCTTTGACCCTTTAGGTACTTTGAATCTTACATATACTTCAATAAAATATTTTTTTATCAGGGCTACAATTCGTCCAGGAGTTATTGGTGGTCTCGGTGGCTTTGGTGGTTGTTTCCAACTGAAAGCTATCGAACAGGAATATAAGGTGTGTTATATTTTGATCATCAAACCCTCTTAAACTATTTTCATTGCCCTGAGTAAACTACAACAATACACATCTACTTTTAGATCTTAATATTATTACTCAGTATTTAGTTTAGTGACTGAATTTACGTGTGTCATTGGAGGAACAAATAAATGCCTTATTTATGTATCTATTTATCTCTGTTTAGTCTCTTTGAGGGCATTGTACTATTCGACAACGAAAACTTCTTAGAAAATCTTAAAGCATTTTATAGACAGTGGAGTAACTGATTTTGATTAGGATGCAGTATAAGAAATACAAAGGCAACTTTAACATAACGTGACTTGTCTATGTAAAGAGCTATATCTTTAATAAATTGCAGGAGTTGCTTAGCTGATCACTTCTTTTGGGCTCCCTTAGATGAGTGTTATGTTTGCGTATTAAGGATCCACAATCAGGATGTTGTGTACTGATTTGAAGGGTCGGTCAGCCAGTATAATATCATCATGTGACTAGTCTTTGTTTATAATCAGTGAAACAGTTAGATTATAAAAAAAAACATGTATACAGTTCACAAACGGTAGAAGTGAAACCTTCCGGAAAGTAGACTTGAGTGGAGAGGCTACGAAGCACCGCACGAAGAGGAGTGTGGCGGCGCTGTCGTCGCGCCGCAAGCGAAAACACACCGAAGCCTAAATCACGCTATCAACATTCCGAATCATAAACAGCATATATAGAACATCTCCGAACTATCACACGGAGTGTGAGCCGCTCCCCGGGCAGAACACCTTGTCCGGCGGGAGATCTCCCCTTTTCCTTCCACGGCCACAGTGGTGACCCCGACGTGATCTGAACACGCAACCAAACACCTTCGGAAACTACAACTTCAAGCTTTCGTCATTATCCTCAAGAACCCCTACCATTCACTATTGAGAATCGTCTTCTGCAGTCTTCAGTTCCTGCAAGCCAGTCCAACTTGTCTTCATCTCGACTCACCGCAGATTTATAAGGCAGACTTCTGGCACTTGCTCCGGCACATCGTTCTCACCGGCATCACTTGCCAGTGCGTAGTACGGCATGCATTACACATCGGCATATCATTCGCACCGGTGTCACTTGCCCTTACGCACACAGCATGCATTTACCACCGGCATTAAAAGGACACACCGGCAATCGGACTGCACTATCGACCTCCGGTCTGAGCAGGGGGTGATGTGGCGGCGCTGTCGTCGCGCCGCAAGCGAAAACACACCGAAGCCTAAATCACGCTATCAACATTCCGAATCATAAACAGCATATATAGAACATCTCCGAACTATCACATGGAGTGTCGGCCGCTCCCCAGGCAGAACACCTTGCCTGGTGGGAGATCTCCCCTTTTCCTTCACGGCCACAGGAGACTGAAATAATAGGAAACATACTATATTCTATGTCGTTCTCTCTCGTAGGCTAAATACTATAGATGTATATGTTTGTCTGTTTTATTTTTTTATATTTAGTTTTTTGTTTGTGTTTACTTTTTCGTTTCATAAAGAAGTTTTCACTTCAAAAATATTTAAGTATCATTGTGCATGTCATCCCCCCATTTAGTAGGCTGTAACGGTAATGGTGATGGTGCATGACAGGACCCAGTGCTGGTGCTGGCTGCGGACGGCGTGGGTACGAAACTGAAAATCGCTCAGAGCATCGATCGGCACGACACCATCGGGCTGGACCTGGTGGCCATGTGCGTCAACGACATCCTGTGCAACGGCGCCTGCCCGCTCACCTTCCTCGACTACTTCGCGTGCGGCGCGCTCGACGTGCGCGTGGCGCGCCAGGTGGTCGCCGGCGTCGCCGAGGGCTGCCGGCAGGCCTCCGCTGCGCTTATCGGTACGTGTGCGTGAGCGCCTCCAGACATGCATCCGACGCAACACATTCGACTCAACGCATCCAATGCAACACATCCGACGCAACGCATCCGACGCAACACATTCGACATGGTATATCCGATGCAACACATCCGACGCAACGCATCCGACACAACACATTATTTCGATGCTACACATTCATCTGGTGATATACATGCATCGACGCCATTTACATTATATCTTAAGATAAAGTTGCGTCCAAAATATAATGAAAGAAAGAAAGAAAACATATTTATTTGGCCATATTTTAACAAATTAACACTAAATACTTAAAACATTATGTTTAGGTATTCTTATAGGTAGACTTAACTATACATGTACAATGAAAAATAAATCATTTTGACAAAGCAGATAGATACAAAATACATTAAAAAAGTGAACAGCTAACTTAAAAAAAAACTTTTTTTAATGGGAAATGGTCCAAATAGGACTGCCACTCAGGAAACGCTAAGATGTGTCATCCTAGCCCTGATTTTCAGTGGCTACCTTAAGTACATTATATACATACACACATATAATATATATACATATACATAATGCAGATTAAATTGCAATATTCTTAATATAAATAAATTTATAATTAAAATCTATGTCCATAATAGTTACTTTACGTATTATTTCAGGCGGAGAAACAGCAGAAATGCCCGGAATGTATCCACCCGGTGTGTACGATATCGCCGGCTTCGCACTCGGTGTTGTGGAACGGACGCATATACTGCCCAAGATCAACGATATCGCTGTACGTAAAAGCATTTTATTAATTACTACTTTGTAATAAGCTCCTACCCTTACTATAGTACGTGCTAAATCGATTGAGAAAAACGGACAATGATCTCAGATGTGAGCCGAGTGTCAAAAGTCGTCACTTACAAAATCTCAATTTAGATATGATAACAATATTTAAATATTGATATTATTCACACTTCTAGGTTAGCACATATGTTTTGTTTTGTTTTTTTGTTTCTTAAATAATATTGTCTGTGGTTCCTATAAACAATCTTACGGTACATCGCGAAAAATGTGTTATATTTTATATTTCAATTTATGGTAAGTAACGCAGCAAATCATTTAATAACAGTTTCATATTAAAAAACTATTTGAAGTAATATAATCACCATATTGAGCTTTTGCGTCAGTTCGTTCCAAAAGAAACGTGACAATGGCAGTTAGAGATGCGTTACTTTTTTTAGACCGGTCCGCATGCACCCAATAAAAATAAAGTTCTTATATAATATTGAAAATAAAGTTTTATCTTTTGAATAAGTACGTACTTATTCGGTGTCGTTATCACTCGAATCTTTATGTGTTACAAATTAATGCTTTTTGTTGTTAAATGAATAAAGTACTTTATAACAATAGATGATTTTTCTTCTACAGCGATCTTTTACATAACTTTTTAATAATAGTTAGTAAATATATATTATATCAATGACTATAAAAAATCATAAATAAAGAAAGTACTACATATAAAAAGTGCCTATATATCGAAGGTTTGTAGCCCATGGTTAAACGACCTAAAGGTCATTGTCCGTTTTTCTCAATCGATTTGGCACGTACTATAGTCATGGTTACCTTTACTACTAAACTTTATTCACTTCTTTGGTAAATAATTCTCGTGTTTTTTTTTAAATAATTATTTCTTCATTTCAGGTGGGCGATATCATTATAGGTCTTCCGTCAAATGGCGTCCACAGCAACGGCTTCAGTCTGATCCACAAGCTGATGAAAAAGGCCGGCCTCACTCTCAACGACAAAGCGCCTTTCAGCAAGGAAGGCTTGACACTGGGTGAGTAATTTGCATGAATTTTATTACTTATCCCAACAGATAAGTCTTAAAATGAACACGGACAAGACAAAGGTTATGTTAATCGACGGATCCAACTCGATTCTAATTACGACATATTTCTGGAACGGAATTCGCAAGAACTTGAAAATAAGAGTGTACAATCAGTGTTGCCATTAATTCCTTATGGACCGTCACCTATAAGCTTTTTTACGTAGAACCATTTTGCAGCTATATTGCGGTTGCTGCACGATTGGATCGGTTCGACCGGGGTAGGACCAGTGGCGAAGCTAGAGCTCCAAGCTAGGACAAGCCAAAGATATAAATTGATAAAAATATAGATTGTTGTTTTTAGCAGTTTTATAAAAATACACCAATCTTGATTTGTCTCCACGCTTCAGTTTCATATTCAGTGCTGTCAAGGACGTGTTTAACAAAGCACACAGAAGGCATACCACTGCTAGATAGATTGTATTACATATCAGCAATTGTATAGCTTCGGTGGCTTTGAAGAAAGCCGTTTGGGTTTGTTTAAGCGAAAGAAAAAAAATATTTACATCCAATACAATACATGAACAAAAGTAAAACACGAACAAAGTACAAACAAACTATGTACAAAATTAAAAAAAAATTATTTACATTGTAATGGATAAGGAAAGATAAGATGAGTGGAATCGTCTCGCTTTCTTGTGGAAAGATTTAATTACGTCCACGTAAAATGTTGGTGAACGTTTTAATTGCACGAATAACTGTTTTTAATTGCGATAATTGATAAGTCTGAAACACTCTTAACCTTGTGTATTATCTCAACAAAGTTTAAAGATTGCCTCTCCGATTATCACTTCAACACACTTCAATTCATCATAAGGAACACTATTATCCTCCATTTTCATTAAAAATCTTTAAAAAAAGCATAAATTTTGAACTTGTAATATTAAATCGCTTAAGATAAGCACACGGCGTAAATAAACATTGAAACGTGAAATGAACTTGCAAACGTATTGCCCGCGCGTCTCCGCTTTTAACAAATTTATTCCCAAAAGCCTGGCTTTAGACCTCTATACTAATTGCTATATATACAATCGTTGTTATATTTCATTATAGAATATTTTGCCATAGGTTAGAAAGAGAGCGATAGTCTTCTCGAAAGCCCCGTAAAAAGTCCACGCGAGCGAGGGAGACAACTATTAGCTCTATTAAAACTCTTTTTTTATGACAGCAGCAGTATCGCTAAGGCAATACGAGGTCATCGGTCGACATGTGTCGAACAGTGGAGTGCGCGGGAAATTTGAAATAGCTTGAAACATTTTACGAGTTATTTTATTAGTTGATATTATTGATTGATTCAGGTTTAATAAGGCAAGCCCGGCTTTTCGGCTTTAATGGAAGCTTCGCCACTGGGTAGGACCACGCTCTTACAGAATACCAGCTTAAAATAGATTGTTACCAAATAAATTAATATAAATTGTTACTTAATAAATTGGTACTTAATGTTGCTGTGTTTCGTATGGTGAGTGTAGAGAACCGGAGACCCTTTTTACTGGAAACGAGGCATTCCATGTCAGTCCTCAAGGCTTGCAACGCATCTGCATTTTGATTCTAAATTGAAGATAAATGAGATGTTTATAGGCCACAGCTTTCCACTTACCGTGGACTGTGTGCTCGTTTGTCATCATTATTCTATAAAAAAGCTAGCCATATGAGAAAGCTCAAGGTCACCGATCAGGAAACTAGAGCAACCAACATAGTCCGATCAGTAAGCTAAATTGGCAATGTGCTGGTCATATCGCTCAAAAAACCGAACTCATACGGGCAGCAGTGAAGGACCACGTCTCAGATCCATAAGTTATCACTGGCAATACGCACTGGTTGCATAATCTCGTTTACAGGCTTTGAGATATACCTGACGAGAAAATGTCGTAATTTCCTGAATGCTGCCCAGCCGAGTTGAATCCGTCGATTGACCTCTCGGTCAAAGTTGGACCCACCTAGTCGGACTATTTGTCCCAGGTAAACGTATTCGTCATTTACTTCGAGTTTAGTACGACTACCGGCATAGGTGTGACATGGACATTACACATGACCTTTGTTTTGTCCATGTTTATCTTAAGATCTATCCGTTGGGAGGCACTATTGACGTCATTGGGCATAGTGCTTAGGTCCTTCAGCGATTCTGCTATAAAGACTATATGGCGGCAAATCGAATGTGAGGTATCTACTCGCTATTGAAGTTAATACTGTATCATTTCCAGTCCAGTAACCTGAAAACGTCTTCCAGTGCAGTGGTGAACAGTTCGGTGATATAATGTTACCCTGTCTTACATCTCTCTGCAGTTAGATAGGTTTCGTACTCTGGTTCTGTACCCGGACTGCCATCGTAGCCCTACTGTAAAAACACTTCAGCACTTCGATATATCGACAGTCAACTTGACACCGCTGAAGGAACTGCAGCACCGCCCAAATTTCGACGGAATCAAAGGTGTTCTTATAGTCCACATACGCAAGGCAAAGTGACAGATTGTACTCTTCGCTCTTATTGTGCATAAAGTTGCCAGTTCATGAATTTATCCTACTGAAATGGGGGAAATTATTTAAGTTGTGTCATGTTCTTACAAGGACAATTAATTGAACTTAAAATGTTTTATACTATAGTCACATTCTAATTACTACTAACAGTCAGTCGACGGGGCAATAGTGCGGTACGGTGTGGGGCGTGACGCGGGCGGCGCACTCCCGAACGGTTATCAGTTGTTCGGGAGCTGTCCGGTCTTGTCACGTTGCAAACAAATTAAAATGGTGCACACTACGTGTGCGGTAACATGCGGCGGTATAACAGGAATGTAGTTCAAAAATTCTAAATATCTCTCAGTTGCATATTTAGTAAATGTGTTTTGATGTAATCCCAATAGGGTAGTTGAGTTGAGTTAGATTAAAAACAAATATATATACAGTACCAAAAGAAAGCTTAAACAAATACATTAGCTGAAAAAAACTAACATTTGTCTAAATATGGTCAATATTAAAATTATACACTATAAAATGTTCTTCCCGCAAAATGCAGAAAGTGGCAATATTTATTCACTTCGACGATAATCTTAATGATGTAGTTTTGTGTTTATGGGACATTTGTCTATTCAACTTGTATGTATGCAACTTGAAAGCTTCCACTTATATTTCAACATGTATTCCAATAAAAAATATAGTATTAACAGATTATTATTACTCAAAGATAGGTTATAAACTGCTACTATTATATTTGACGGTTATTATTGACTATTTTGCATGCTTTAAGCGCAAAGTGCGCAAGTATGTTCTACTAGCGCCTAAAAATCCAGAATCCAACGTTTTGTCGCATGAAATCATATCTAACCGTCATATTGAACATATAAATCATATAAAAACACATTGTCAGAAAGATAAATGATTGTTGAACTTACAATTTTTTTAAATCAATTAATTGCTATTTTTACATTAAAAAGTAATTTTAGTGGCTTCTGGTGTAGATTTATCAAGTCCGCATGGAGAAGTAAACACGATAACTTTTGAAAATATCGATTATTAAACTCAATCTCTTTTTTCATCTATCATGTGGGAAGCCATGGAATGTAAATGACAGTTTAATTTTGTTATGTTTAGTTATGATTATTTTTTTTTCGGCTGACAAATTCCCTAGTTTTCGGTGTTTTAAGCAGCCTTGTAATAATCTATTTTACTAAATAAGCTTTGAGTCTTTAACTCACTTCGGACTCGACCGCCATCGTAAGTGGATTACTGTAACACCGGCTCGCGATGAAAAATAGCGATCGCTGTAGAAATACAAAATATTCCAAAAACAAAATTTGATACATACTTGACCAAGGTACACTTTGGACGTTTAAGAACATTTTTTTTTTTGATATATAAAATGCTTCAGTTTTTGTAATAAACTCCTATCAAAATCGTCGATTTCCATATTTTTGTTTTTATTACTTCTTTTTAATAAGGCGAATGTAAAGGGCCATGTTTGGTTTCTTTTTGAAAAACAGCCAAGTTTAGTTTAGAAAGTCCGGTATAACGGCTCGATCGAACAAAAGAATCATCTAATGGCAAGGTCAAAAACTTATTTTGTTTTTTCTTCAACACATGTGTGTTATTGTAGAGTATTTTCTTCGAAACTTCCCGTGTTTTGCGATGAATAAAAACACGTTTTTATGTAACTTTTTGAGCTGTCGAACTTGAAGGTCCCGGTTTAGTCATATTTAAACACAAAAATGTACGTCAAACACTAAAATGGAATCGATACGCGCGCGATAGTTATCAAGGACAGCGCTACACTACGGGCGTTCGAGCATGTAGGGCGAGCGGTGGGATGGCAAGCCCACCCTTTACCTCAGACCTCGACTGCATTCAACTTGCGCGCCTACTTTACGGAGGTAATCAGTTAAAATAATACATTACCACGCATTCTGAATTTCAAAGATAAAAAGGACAAAATGTTTGAGTTATTTTTCTATTATTTTTTCCATTATTTGCAGAGAACCTCTGCAGATTTAAGTGTATATTGCAATATAACCCTATATGATAAAAGCATATTGTGTTGGCATATATTAAAAATAATGTATTCGTTTCAAAATTATTTACTTACAATTAGGTTAAATAAGAAATAAAAGGGTCATAGAATAGATTATACTTCTTATGTTTTAGTGTGGCCTTGTACTTCTGTACTAAAGAGATAATTTTCGAAGGCTAGTGCTCGAAAATTGGCTTCCAATATGCGACGACGTACACATATAACAAGTATCTGTAGGTGTCTGTAATAATAACATTCGACAACTATAAGATACTTCTCATCGAAGATAATTTTCGACTTTTTAGGTTGTTGATGACGACATTTTTCTACAGCTGTCGGAAGTTGTAACTTCTTAGACAATATTTTATAACAAAAACACATTCGAACACTGTTTCTTACTTTTGATCTGAGTCAGTTATGTTTTGTCTAAACTTGTTAACGGCGATGACTTCCGACCACTATTAGTATTCAGTAATATCTTACGACCATTCTTGGCGTGGTTAACTTTAACAGTTTTCGACATATTCGGGATTGTTTGACAGCGACGATTCTTAATCTTTTTTGAGTCTGTTGATTGCTAGAATTTTTGACTACTGCTGCTGCTGACTGCTGAGCATGGTCTAACGACTGTAAATTTTTCTTACAAGTATCCTATTTAGACCGCGTGTGTTGAACTTGCTTTTAACGTGAGGAACGAACGAACGATTCGTGTATGATCATTTAGGGAAAAAATCGTAACAAAACCGTACAATCTCAACGGTCCTTCGAGCTGGATATGAACCAGTGACGTATGGATGTTGAAATGTGAAATTATTAAATGTGATAATTTTCGATCATTGTTGAAAGTTGTTGACTACATCAATTTTCGTCTTATTATAATTTTTAACCTTCTTATTGTATAATTATAATTGAGACGCTTATTTAACCACAACGGCATGCTGCTATTTTAGGTTGATCGTTTAATACCAGCGTAAAATATTACCATACTACTGGGACATGACATGTAAAATCACGAGAACCGAAAGCCTACTAGCGTGTAACACGGAATTCCATCTTGAATGTGTTGTTACACGATAAAGTATTTTAAATCTTTATCAAGAAAGACCATAACATCCATTTATACTCGTGTTGTTTGAATGAATAATTGTTTAAGAAAATGATAGAGCAAAAATTTGTTTACGTGTGCTTAGGCGAGGAGCTGATCAAGCCGACGCGCATCTACGTGCGCAGCGTGCTGCCGGTGCTGCAGCGCGGCCTGGTGAAGTCCGTGGCGCACGTGACGGGCGGCGGGCTGTTGCAAAACCTGCCGCGCGTGCTGCCCGACGCCGTGCGCGCGCGCCTCAACGCGCACTGGTGGCACGTGCACCCGGTACGTACGTACTGTAGCGAGCGTGACACATGACGCACGTGACGGCGGCGGACTGCTGGACAACCTGCCGTGCGTGCTGCTCGACGCTGTGCGCGCGCGCCTCAACGCGCACTGGTGGCACGTGCACCCGGTACGTACGTACTATAGCGAGCGTGACACGTGACGCACGTGACGGGCGGCGGGCTGCTGCACAACCTGCCGCGCGTGCTGCCCGACGACGTGCGCGCGCGACACGTGACACACGTGACGGGCGGTGGGCTGTTACACAACCTGCCGCGCGTGCTGCCCGACGCCGTGCGTGCGTGCCTTAACGCGCACTGGTGGCACGTGCACCCGCCACGTACGTACTGTAGCGAGCGTGACACGTGACGCACGTGACGGCGGCGGGCTGCTGCACAACCTGCCGCACGTGCTGCCCGACGACGTGCGCGCGCGCCTCAACGCGCACTGGTGGCACGTGCACCCGGTGCAAATGTACTGTAGCGGGCGTGACACATGGCGCACGTGACGGCGGTGGGCTGCTGCACAACATACCGCGCGTGCTGCCCGACGCTGTGCGCGCGCACCTCAACGCGCACTGGTGGCACGTGCACCCGGTGCGTACGTACTGTAGCGAGCGTGACACATGGCGCACGTGACGGCGGTGGGCTGCTGCACAACATACCGCGCGTGCTGCCCCACGCTGTGCGCGCGCACCTCAACGCGCACTGGTGGCACGTGCACCCGGTTCGTACGTACTGTAGCGAGCGTGACACATGGCGCACGTGACGGCGGTGGGCAGCTGCACAACATACCGCGCGTGCTGCCCCACGCTGTGCGCGCGCACCTCAACGCGCACTGGTGGCACGTGCACCCGGTGCGTACGTACTGTAGCGAGCGTGACACATGGCGCACGTGACGGCGGTGGGCTGCTGCACAACATACCGCGCGTGCTGCCCGACGCCGTGCGCGCGCACCTCAACGCGCACTGGTGGCACGTGCACCCGGTGCGTACGTACTGTAGCGAGCGTGACACATGGCGCACGTGACGGCGGTGGGCTGCTGCACAACATACCGCGCGTGCTGCCCGACGCCGTGCGCGCGCACCTCAACGCGCACTGGTGGCACGTGCACCCGGTGCGTACGTACTGTAGCGAGCGTGACACATGGCGCACGTGACGGCGGTGGGCAGCTGCAGAACATACCGCGCGTGCTGCCCGACGCAGTGCGCGCGCACCTCAACGCGCACTGGCGGCACGAGCACCCGGTGCGTACGTACTGTAGCGAGCGTGACACATGGCGCACGTGACGGCGATGGGCAGCTGCACAACATACCGCGCGTGCTGCCCGACGCAGTGCGCGCGCACCTCAACGCGCACTGGCGGCACGAGCACCCGTGCGTACGTACTGTAGCGAGCGTGACACATGGCGCACGTGACGGCGGTGGGCAGCTGCACGACATACCGCGCGTGCTGCCCGACGCTGTGCGCGCGCTCCTCAACGCGCACTGGCGGCACGTGCACCCGGTGCGTACGTACTGTAGCGAGCGTGACTAGTGACGCACGTGACGGCGGCAGGCTACTGCACAGCGCACAGTCTAGATGGAAACAGAGCTATGTCTAAAAATAAGTCCCTTCATATTTTGACTTTATGTTCAGAAACTTGATAACTATAAAATGTAAATAGAATACGCTTATTGTTTCTACCGTATTTTTTTTTTCAACTTAAAATCTTTCGAAAGTAATATTTATCGTATGAAGTGCTGAGTCGATAAGTATAAATTTATAACTGGGTTTCTTAAAAAAAAATTTATAATTTAACAAATAATCTTGCAGGTGTTATACCATTTTGGAATTCTTATTAAATGCACCAACTTTTAAAGTTACTTGCCAAACTCGTATAGTACATTTTTCTCAGTATAATCATTTAAAACTGGGTAAAGTATTAATTTTTAATACTTTGTTGGGGAAAAAATTACATTTCCTTCTGGACTGGATCAATTGGTTATAAATTTTATTCAACAGTTTTCGAAAGCATTAGTCAGAATTACATCATAATTAAAAGAATATTTAAAAAGTTAAATATGTAGCAATACGTTAAAAGACCATCACAGAGTGGATTTTCTCAATTTTTTTTATAAATGCTGAAATTTGTAAAATACTTTTTTATATTATAAAATATTTCTTTATACTTTTCTGTTAATTATTATGACTTGACCTATCACCCGATTCCGACTTGACGTCGACTTCTGGGACACTACAGTAATTATCTATGCACATGGAAATCAGATAGGTGATCACAGTTCACAATATATGAATATCACAACTTAGATTGTAATATACGTCAATCTTTAGTACAAATGCAATTATCATCGAAAGTGTACTATTAAAGTACAACACGTACGAATTAACTTGAGACTCCGCTGGAATGCGACCCCCTTCCCGACCACCGCGCGCACGGCCACGGCGCTCAGTACCGATAGCATTTTTGTTACGGATACGCGTCTCGACTCTAGTTCGATATTTTTGATAATTGTTTGTTGTTTGGTTTGGACTTTTGTTTGTTTTTGTTATACTTGAACGTTATTTTATCTGTTTGTTGTTAATTGCGTTGTTTTATTGTTAAGTTTGGACGTTGTGTTGTGCCGTTTTCTTGTAACGATTAGGACTTACTCCGCCTTTTTTTATTTTTAAAAAAGATGGGAGGAAAGACAATACATAGCCAAGCACGGACACTTGCTCTAAAAGTTTTAAAATTTTTCCAAGCTGACCAAGCTTTAAAGAGGGCTTGTGCAGCAACAGGCATATCAAAGGCAACACTACTAAGAATAAAAAACGAGGCGAAAAAAGTTCAGTCAATTTCTCAAGACCAAAATGATGATGTCACAGTAGTATCGGAACCATGTACTTCTCAAGCAAGACCAGAACTTAAACTATCAACTCCAGGGAAAAAAGGAAACAGAGCTCAAAAAAAATTGAACTCGACAATTTTGATCTGTGTGCTCTAAGAAACCTTGTCAACAGTTTCTATACAGTACGGAAAGAAATTCCAACATTGAAAAAGATTTTAACGGCTGCAAAAGCAGATCTAAATTTTCCAGGTACGTACCCATATTTATTGACATTTTTTATATGTATTATATATCATACTTTAGGTCATATCATATACAAGGTGACATTTAATTCAAGCATAATCTTGTTAGGGGTGCTAGAACTGGTAATTTGCAACAATTTTATGTATGGACACCCATACGCAAAAGTGAACCATTTCTGAGATATTTAATTTTAAATTATTTTTTGAAAAAATACCACGCGATAACTAAAATTTAAAAATAAAATCTTTATTTTACAGGTGAAAAAACCACGTTACAACGAATACTCGTTGACTACTTGGGGTACAAATTTAAAAAATAACGCAAGACAAGTCTTAATACAAAAGCCAGACATTGCTGCCTGGAGAGCCCGTTATTTACGAAGGAAGAAAGAAAACAATGAACTTGGGGTGGACAAAAAACCCGTAACTTATTTAGACGAAACATGGATTCACTCCCACTATACCGTGCGCAAATGCTGGCAAAATAACAATGACGCAAGCATTAGAAAAAATGATAATCCGGGACAGCGGTGGATATTGGTGCACGCTGGCGGTGAAAACTGCTTTATCCCTGGTGCCGAATTGCTTTACAAATGCAAAAGTAATGCCAGGGACTACCATCACGAAATGGATAGTAAAAACTTTAAAAAGTGGTTGACAGAAAAACTAATCCCAAACTTACCTCAAAACAGTCTCGTCGTTATAGACAATGCTCCCTACCACTCAACGCAGTCTGAAAAACCACCCGTGAGCTCGTCCCTGAAAGGTGAGCTGCAGAGTTGGCTTCGGAAAAACAACATTCCTTTTGATGAAAAAATGACGAAACCGGAACTGTATCATATAATACTGCTCAATAAACCACCGAAAAAATATATAGTGGACGAACTCATGAGGGAGCATGGACACGAGGTATTACGGCTGCCACCCTACCATTGTGATTTGAACCCTATCGAATATATATGGAACTTAATAAAACAAAGGGTGGCAGCTTGCGTCATTGTTATTTTGCCAGCATTTGCGCACGGTATAGTGGGAGTGAATCCACGTTTCGTCTAAATAAGTTACGGGTTTTTTTGTCCACCCCAAGTTCATTGTTTTCTTTCTTCCTTCGTAAATAACGGGCTCTCCAGGCAGCAATGTCTGGCTTTTGTATTAAGACTTGTCTTGCGTTATTTTTTAAATTTGTACCCCAAGTAGTCAACGAGTATTCGTTGTAACGTGGTTTTTTCACCTGTAAAATAAAGATTTTATTTTTAACTAAAAATGTTAACCAGTTTGAAAGGGAAATAGAGGGTTTAACAAGAGACGCAATACAGTCTATAACGGCTTCCGATCGGAAGAAAGAAATTAACCATATCGAAAGATTAGAAAATGAAATAATACTAGTTTTTGCGGAATTTATCGCGTATATTTAACTTTTTAAATACCCGACGTTTCGAACGCTTTACAGCACTCATGGTCACGGGCAGGAGTATGTGCTGTAAAGCGTACGAAACATCGGGTATTTAAAAAGTTAAATATACGCGATAAATTCCGTAAAAACTAGTATTATTTCAATGTGTAGTGTTCGCGTAAATATAAGAAATCATTAGAAAATGAATACTGGGAGAGTGATAGACTTTGAGAAATCCAACAGAGAGAATTAATTATATCCCTCGGAGGGGAAGAATCCAGCTCAGAGAGTGAAAGTGAGGACGATCTAATGGACGGAATAGAACCGATCGTATACAGTGACAATGAATAATAAATATTATAATAAATCCTTATTAATATTCCTTACTTCTATTCCTTGATTTTACATAGTTTGTGCCGTTCCGCTTATCCAAGATTGATTCACTTTCACCCTAAGGTTGCCTGGGACAGATTGCTTTTTAGCAATAAGCTCTCCTGTTATGCTTTGTATTTTTATTGTGTACGAATCTGTAACACTTTTTATAGTGCAATAAAGTGTATAATAAATAAATTAATAATATTATAAATGAGAAAGTGTGTATGTTTATTTCTTTATCCTTCCTTGACGCGTTAACTAAAAATAATATTATATATATTATTAAAAATAAATATTTAAAATATATAAAAATGGCAACACTATATCACTTATTACTTCACCCCTTGCCAGAACATATTATTTTGTTTTTATTAATAATCTCATGCAAATCTCAAAAATTTCAAATAAAAAAATATTACGACACATTATTTTGCACACCGTACATTGACAATTACGTCATCGGCCCAGGTCTCAAGTTAATTCGTACGAGTTATAATAGTATATTTTTTACATGAATTGTATTCTTAAATTCAGGTGTTCGCCTGGATTGCGGATACTGGTGCAGTGGAGGACGAAGAAATGCTGCGCACTTTCAACTGCGGTCTAGGTATGGTGCTCATTGTGGCGCCTGAAAACCAAGCCGACGTAAGCTTATGATAATATTTGTTAGGTATTTGCCTATTAATTAAAACTAATTTTATGGAATGTAGGTGGTAATGATCATTCAATGTTTAGAAGCACGTCGGGTGTAAGTAAGTTAAAATAAAACGCAACAAAATCCATAAAATTGGTTTTTTCAATATAGTATTCGTTGAATAATTAAAACAGCAGTGGTAAACGTGTAAAAACTAAGAAGTATGAAAGAATGTGCTATAAGTCGCATGCGGAATGAACTTCAAACACCAGTCATGAAAACGATGGATCGTTTTTTTTTTTTGTCTTAAGATTAAGGGAACACGGTAGTATAGGCCCCAACACAATTTATGCCACACATCCTGGCAGGTTGCCATGTAATGTTGGAAAGTGTCAATGAGGACACTTATGTCTAGTATTAGGTCTTTAATTTTTAGAGCAACTTTAGTGGCCGAGAACACGTCGTGAGCAGCGCAGAGTTGGGGCGTTGTAGAGTTAAGCGCAGGATGTACAAGATTGTGCCATGACATGAACTAATGTCCTCCAGACCTAATTTCGGTCGTGATGGTCAGTCTGAACGAAGACAAGCCATCTGCGCAGGGCAGGATTATAGTGGCCGAGTGTATGCGCCAGCATAAGTGCACTCTCTATTCCCTCACTCGTATTCCGACGAGTCGGTAAACCGACAAGACCTAACAACCAATCGTTTTACGTATTTTCGCAAGCGGGGTGAAAGACCGCCAAATTTTACGACTCCAAGCTGCTACTGAGCATTTCTTTACAGAAAGATTCAATAACTAATTTTGGCCCCTATTCGGGATTCGAACCCAGAACCTCATGAAAAGCGACCACGACTACCACTAGACTAACGAAGTGATCTACAACACGAACTAAATACTAACAAATACTCTCAAGTATTTTAAAACCTGATTTTCAAACATGGTATTTTTACGTCCTCGTACTTAGATACCCTGGTATTGAATCTTGCAAATATATATCATCCATAGCAGCCGTTATTATTATGTTGACGTGGTAGAACCACGCTGCAGTTATATTATGGTTAGAGCACGAATGGTTCGGCTCGCCCGGGGAATTGCACAACATATCTGCATGTTGAAAACATATCTGCATGTTGAAAACATATCTGCATGTTGAAAACATATCTGCATGTTGAAAACATATCTGCATGTTGATTCTTAATTGAAGATAAATGTAGATGCCTGATGGTAAGTGGTTTCTGTGGCATGGACCACAGAAACCACTTACCATCAGATGGGTTGTGTGCACACTTATCACCCTCATTTTATAAAAGAAAAACAAGGTTAGATGTTTGTGGATGAGAGTATGAGATGTGGTGCGTAACCGTGGTTTAGACTTATGCAATACTACTAGTATAGTCTTACGTTTTCCTGTGCGTGGCAGGCAGGTAGGATCAATCGGCAAGAAACAGATCCTGACATACCTCTTTCGCTTAAGTTTTAGTTAGTGGTTATTGAAAGTCTACAATTCGGTTCGTGATATTGTTGTGCAGGTGATGAACAGCTTGCGCGGGTTCGGCGCTATGGTGGTGGGGTCGCTGCAGGCGCGGCGCGCGGGCGGTGAGCGCGTGCTCGTGGACAACTTCGCCTCCGCGCTCGACTTCACGCGCCGCGTGCCGCTGCTGCCCAACAAGCGGGTAACGCACACAGACACATGTGGCGGCGCTGTCGTCGCGCCGCAAGCGAAACACACCGAAGCCTAAATCACGCTATCAATATTCCGAATCATAAACAGTATATATAGAACATCTCCGAACTATCACACGGAGTATTGGCCGCTCCCCTGGCAGAACACCTTGCCTGGTGGAAGATCTCCCCTTTTTCTTCTACGGCCACACACATATACATTCAATTTGACCATTCAAATCATGCAACACGGGCCACCGACAGACAGGAGGATCTGTCGTTTTTTTGCGGGAGGGTATCTGCGCACACAAAAACAATCTTCTGTCACTACCAAAATTCAGTGACCGACACATCGTTGCCAAATACCAAATATTATTTTTCTCTTATAAATATTTAGGCACTTTTGATATTTATTTTTGTTTTGACTGGCTCGATGGTTGTAATAGTGTGACAGCTGATGAGGTCCTGGGTTTGAATCTCGAGTCGAGACAAAAACTCAATTTATTCAGTTTTTCCGTCAAGAAATTCTCAGTAGCTGCCTGGAGTAAGGAAGTTGGCGATGTCTCACCCCCGTGCCTCGGAAAGCACGTAAAGGCGTTGGTGGTGGTTTTTTCACGTATAGTGTCAATGACCTTAAAACGTTCAGTGTAAGTAGACCTCCCAGTACTAGTTACTGCCTACTAATGCAAGATCAGCATATTATTTTGGTTAATAGTAAAACTTGGTCGATAAAAGGAAAAGATTTAAAATAAGTACACTCTTTCATTCATAATAACTTTGCGTGTCGCATGTTTGTAAATATCAAAAATATTTGAAACGGAAAATGGCAAGTAAGTAAATTACCTTTCGTTTCAGATTATTATTTTCGTGATTTCGATTCTTTCCTTCATACTTTTACGGGCTTAGGACCGTCTAATATGCTATAGTTGAGTACAATTGCATGTTAAATTTTATTTTGCATTGTAATTAATTGATTAAATAGTTTCTAATAATATTTTTTGCGTCTACCTTATACTGCAACATCTGCGCGTATTTAAAATATCGAAATCAACTTATTTACAAACTACACTGATTGATATTTACAGAATTATACAATGAAATTATATTTACAAATGGAAATTACATTTTTAGCGATATCACAGTAATTGTTCAAAATGTGTATAGTTTTTTCTAAACAAAAACTAGCACGTCTTCGTAAATGATTTGTTAAACTTCGGAGCATGTGTATATCACTTTTATCACATTAAATGCGTTTATTTTACGCTGCTTTCAATCACTAACACTTTGCGCTCTTCTGTGTACACTAATCGTTTTAGCTAGGCCCACAAATAAAATCCTAAAGGTGTCAGGTCTGGTGATCCCCCCGGCTAGTTCACATGTCAACCACGACCTGTCCACCTGTTACCGAATTGGCTCATCATTGGAGTATTGGTACATGTTTACGATACACACGCGGAAACAAACAATATGACGACGACCCGCTGTCATGCCACAGCTTATAAAAGGAATTGAAGAGTTGATAGCGCGGGCGGCTTTGCCCTTGAGCCTGTGACCCTGTGAAGTGACGAGGTCAAAGATGCCAACTAAATTTATTGTTTTTTTGCCGTTCTTAAAGTAGATCGGATATGATTTGAATTTCGATAGATTTTTATTAATTTATTTATTTAATTCAATTTTTTTTTCGTAAAAGTGCCATAGGCTTCTACTCCGTTCACCTGTTACATCCTTTTTTTTTTCAGACAGTAAAAATAGTCATTCAGTATTTACATTATACTACTATGTGCCAATGTAATTTTTAGGTCCTTGATGCCTGAAATAAATAAAGTTGTTGTGTGTTAATGTTACTATTGTGTATTATCAGTGAAGTTACCGGCAAATCTGGCATGAATGTGTGTTGTTGAGTGATGTGGCGGTGGGGGTGTGCAGGTGGCGGTGCTGGTGTCAGGCAACGGTAGCAACCTGCAGGCGCTGGTGGAGGCGGCGCGCGAGCCCGCGCTGTGCACGTGCGCCGACATCGCGCTCGTCATCAGCAACCGCGCCGACGCGTACGCGCTCAAGCGCGCCGCCGCCGCCGGGATACCCTCGCTGGTCAGTGCCGTACTCACTTAAGACCGATTTACACTTCGATAAGTTCATTAGCGAGTTAACTTGAAATCCTGGGGAGTTAAGTAAAAAATCTTGTTTGAACGGCAATTAGTGAGTTAAGTAGTAAGTCAACAATTAAGTTATTCGGGATAGCCGGGCCGGTTTATGTTTCGGCGAGTTGCGTTCGAAGTGTAATGCCGCCGCTCGTGCGAACGATCGGATTTAGTTCAGTGCATAAGTTGACAGAACGCAACGTAATACCCTCATAATATAACTTCTACTTAAATGTTTACTGTCAACTGCCCTGTAACTAAACTCGTTACTGTACTTGTCGAAGTGTAAATCGGCTATTAGTCGTGTGCCACGCTAGCGCGACGCTTCTTGCGTCTGCGATGAGCGGGAAAAACAATAACGGGAGGTGCCTGCGTGTGCGTCAGGTGACAGCAACCAGCGGAGAACATAGTACGTGTTCGCACGTCTTGCGATTTAATCATATCATAAATCAAAAACTTTAAATAAGGAAACGTTTATTAGAGAAATAATGTCTCTGTTTGCAATATGGTATAGTAAACATGAAAATTATATGCATAATATTATATTTCTCAAAACTTTTGTTGGTATTGACGTATTTCATCATTAAGTATTTTAGTTTAAATCGTAAACTCCTATCTTAATTTACATCATATCTTGTGCAAAAGAGCTACTTTCTTCTAGTGATTTTTGAGCCCGCGCAAAAATAGCAGGAATAAACCAAATATTACGCAGCCTCTTAAACGTACACAGCGGCATGGCACAGCATCTTCACGCCTCCCGCCTCCGCTCCCCGCAGTCGCTTTAGCTTGGCCAACGCCTTAAAGCTGGGTAGCGATGTCTGAGTCGGACTGCGATAAGTAGATCAGCAAAGACTTTTGTGTATACTACTAAACGAACTCTGCGACCTTAATACATTGCGTACTAAGTTACACTCAATTCTCTATAACTTCTTTATTTATTTATTTTTTACTGTACACCAAAATACAGAAAACGCGTAGATTACGATTTAAATTATAAATACAATAGGTCCTATTCTAAAAAATACGTTAAAATAATTAGCAATATGGTAATGGTTAATATTATAAGCACACGCGGCGGGGTTGGTAACCATGCATGTGTCTTATTATAGCCAACATAATCTAAGAAATACATTTTGACAGCTGTCAGACTTATAGCACCAAGCATGCCAACCAAAAAATGGGAACGTAAAATATTCGATTATTAAAAAAATCGATATCGTTTATCGATATCGATTATTTAGAGTTCGTAATCATTTACAGTTTGGTTTGAATAACACCAGAATAAATTAAAAACGGATGATTTAAAACACAAGATTTATCAGTTTCTTCGTATTTGTTGTTACTGCTTATTTCTGGAGGCACAGTTATAAAAATTTAAGATTGAAACTAGATTCAAAATAAATTTATTCAATCACTTTCAGTACAACTAGTAGGGATGTCGTTGTTTATATTAATTATTATTATTTGATTTTCAATAATGCAGTCAAAATTAATGTATCTTTCAAAGTTATCCATAATCAATTTTTTTCTACCACTTGCCCAATCACCCTTTGTGACATGGGCACATGCTTCAACGAATTTTTTTATAGCATTGAGTGACAAACGAGCACACAGTCCACCGGATGGTAAGTGGATGCTATGGCCTATAGACATACACATTTATCCTCAATTAAGAATCAAAATGCAAATGCGTTGTCACCCGTGAGGACTAAGATGGAATGCCTCGATTCCAGTAAAAAGGGTCTCCGGTTCTCTACACTAACCATATGAAACACATCAGAATTACGCTGCTATTTTACGCTGGTATTTTGCCCTGGTTGAGCCGACCCTTTCGTGCTACAACTATAATACAGATGTACCGTGGCTCTACCATGTACAAAAAGTTATTATAGAAGAAACAGTCCAAAAAGTTAAAGCCGAGTCACAAAATAAGAAGACAAACACAAAATCACAAAATTACGCACAGTAAGCTCTCGAAACAGAAACAAATTTTTTATTCAATATAGATTATGAATAATACTTATTGAAAGTCACTTTTTCATTTACCACTGGTTCGCAAAAAATACCTCTGTCCTGGGAAGAACCAGCAAGAAACCCAACGGGACTAGTTTTTTTAAAAAAAAAATAGCTTATAATCATGCGTGTTACAATTAACAACACAAAACAAATTAGAAATAGCTTGGTAGCGATCACCCTTCTCAGGGCTTATTATCATCCATAAATTCCTTAATATTAAAATAACCCTTTTTATACAAACTTAGTGCAATAAAATTTTTGAACTATATGTACTTACGTCAAATTTTGTATATTTTCTGGCATTTTGTTATAAAAGCGTATACATCGCCTCAAAAATGAATTACTGATTCTGTGGAGTCGAGTAACTGGTATCGAAATGGCGGGATATTGAAATTATGTAGTGGTTATTTTAGCATGGCTTTGTATATGAGTTTTTTGCCAACAAAAATTTACTTTGACAAATTGAAAAAAATAAACTTAATTATTCATGATTCATGTAATTTAAAGAATTTTGAAAAAAAATTACATTAAACAAATAATACATTTAAGAAATTAATGATTCGATATTAGAATATTTTTACCGATTATTAATTACCGATTATTCGCATAACAATGAATTTTAATCATCCAAACACTACGGCATATACATAGCGACATGTCATTGAAACGACGTCAAGTAAAAAAAAGTTAATACTTATTATTTTTTAATATGTTGCTTTGTTTTAAAAATTCTAATTTAAATTAGTGATAAAAAACTATACACGTTGTAATGAAATATAGATAACCTCATAATTCTTCGGATTTACGTAAAAGGTAATTTTAAATCGTGTGAGTACGCTTGTGCAAAGTTATTGCGGAATGATTAATGTAAAACGTCAAAAGGTATTTCTTAGATTTGGTTGACTATAGCTATTGCGATATTAAAGCTCAGTAATTTGATTCAAAATATAAATGCATACTGCACGCACTATGACGTAAATGCACTGTACTTCGTACAAGGTGTACTAAAATAATATTTAGACAACTACGAGCGACCGAGAAGACTATGTCTTTCACGCTGTCATTATTTTTGTGCGCGCTTTTTTTTAATAGAATGCGGGTGACAAACAAGCACACAGTCCACCTGGTCGTATGTGGATGTTGTGGCCCATAGACTTCTACATTTATCCTCGATTAAGTATCAAAACGCAGATACGTTGTCACCCCTACGGACTAAGATGGAATGCCTTGTTTCCAGTAAAAATAGGTCTTTGTCACTTTGTATTTTATTGTAATACTGTCTTAATTGAAAATACAACTACGTAGCTTATTTACCGTGCTAGCTACTAGCCCGCGCCTGCGCGATTTATATCTGTGACACAGTAAAAATATTTGATGCAACACGCATTTTAGGCGAAAGCTGGGCTAACGCGACCCGTGAAGAAAAATAATACGAAACGGACAGAGAGGGTAGAGGAATATACTGCCGCGGCTGGCTACTGAGTGGGGCGACTGTGACCAGCTTTAGCCAAATGGAATGAAATCACCAAAAACACCACCCTCTTGGAGCAGTCGTACAATGAATGAAATCAAAGTAAAATTACGCGACAGACAGAAGTTCGGAAATTTTTATTGCATTATGGTTTTCGCCTGGGTAAAATTACAGCGAAAGCAACGCTGATGCGAGAGCGTGAAGCGGAGTCGGAAAGTGAGAAGTTGAAACGCTGGACGCGTGAACTAAACAATCTCATCCCCGCTCATCTCGTATTGTTATTTTTCCGGGTATCGCAAACAAAAGCCTCTCAAAAGACAAAAGATAACGGGATGTGTATTGATTCTTTTACACTGCCGCCAAAATTACATTGTATAGTTCGTGCCAAATCGATTGAGAAAAACGGACAATGACTTCAGATATGAGCCGAGTGTCAAAAGGCGTCACTTACAAAATCTCAATTTAGATGTGATAACAATATTTAAATATCGATATTATTCACACTTCTAGGTTAGCACGTATTTTTTTGTTTCTTAAATAATATTCTGTGGTTCCACTTCGTGGTGGTGGTGGTTTGGCATGTCCTTAAGGTTGAACAAAAAATGCGTAGCGTGGATGATACAATTGACCAAACTGCAGATCGGTTTATAATTAATGTTACAGATAGTTCATCTGAATACACATCAAGTGAAGATACGAGTGATGGTTACACCGAATAAAAATAAAGTTCTTATATAATGTTGAAATAAATTTTTACCTTTTGAATAAGTACGTACTTATTCGATGTCGTTATCACTCGAATCTTTATGTGTTATAAATTAATGCTTTTTGTTGTTAAATTAATAAAGTACTTTATAACAATAGATGATTTTTCTTCTACAGCGATCTTTTACATAACTTTTTAATAATAGTTAGTAAATATATATTATATCAATGACTATAAAAAAATCATAAATAAAGAAAGTATCTATATTTCATTGCATAACAAAATGTGCCTATATATTGAAGGTTTGTAACCCCTGGTTACGCAACCGAAAGGTCATTGTCCATTTTTCTCAATCGATTTGACATATTACAGTCCTTAGACGATGGACGTTATAATGTTATTTGTTTACGCAGGTGTTCAACCACAAAGAATACTCGTCGCGGGAAGAGTTCGACCGCGCCATCTCTGAAGCCCTGGAGAAACACAAAATAGACATTGTATGCCTCGCCGGCTTCTTGAGGATCTTATCTGCTGAGTTTGTGGATAAGTACGTATTTATTTTTTTAACTTTAAAATAAAAATGACCCTAGCTACCTAGCTAACGTTAACGTTAACGGGGGCATATCATAATCTGGTACACCTACAAATTGGTGCAAATATATAATAGTGGTACTAAGTAAAAAAACATGTGAGCAGTTCGAATAAATTTTCACAGTTTCGTTTAAATTTAAAATTATACAGTAGAAGTGAAACTTTAAAAGAATCTAGAAGTGAATAGGAAGCCGATTTTAATTGGAAATGCCTATACTGTATTCTATCTCATTCTCTCGCAGGATAAATCCTATAGATTTATAGATATCTCCCCAATAGATTGCCGCGTACATTGTTTTTACGCATTTTTTTATTTTTAGTCGTTATTAGGAAAATGCTGCTCAGTGTCATTTTTTTAAATTTATTAGAATCAACAAACAGTTTACACAATATTTATTAATCTAAAATACATTCACTACAAAAATATATTATAATAGTGCAACCAACACCGTTGACCACTAATTACTATAAACAAATGTTGAGATTGAGTATAGCGTACAATTTTTTTCATATAATATATTGATTGTGTTTTCAAATAACACAATAATAAAGAAAAATAATAATTATTGTAATAACCAATTATACAAACTCATTCTCCTTTGTGTACTTAAAGTAATTCTTTTTTATAAATACCCACCTTGTGAGCAAAAATGTCATGATTTGTTTCCCTCTGTCGTCTATTATGGGGTAGTGGATACGAGGGTGGATTGAAAAGTACTCGGCCTAACCAAGAAAATAAACACATACTAAAACGGTTATATTTTTATTTTTCTACATAATCACCATCAAGTTCAATACACTTTTGCCACCTCCCCTTCCAAGCATTTAGACCATTGAAAAAAAATGATTCTTCCTTAGAGTCAAAATATGCGTCTACAGCTGCTTTGACCTCGTCGTTTGTCGAAAATCTTTGACCTCCCAAGTGCTTTTTTAGGTTAAGGAACAGAAAGAAGCCTGATGGTGCCAGATCAGGTGATTAAGGCGGATGCGGTAACAGTTCAAAGCCACAGTTGTGAATTTCAGCCATTGACTGTACTGACGTGTGAACACGGGCGTTATCTTGATGAAACAGGACTTTTCTTCTGAGCATTCCTCGTTTTTCTTTTATTTCCTCTTTTATATTCTCTTTCGTAAACAACGTAGTAAGGTGCAGTAGTAATCAGAGTTTATAGTCTGACCCCTTTCAAGATAATCAATCATAATCACACCTTTCGAGTCCCAGAATACTGAAGCCATCACCTTATTTGCCGACAAAATCGACTTAGCCTTTTTAGGGGGTGGTGAACCAGGTCTTCTCCACTGTTTTGATTGTTGTTTTGTTTCCGGTGTACAGTAATGAACCCATGTTTCGTCCATAGTAACAAAACGATTCAAAAAATCATCTGCATCGGCTTCAAATAACTCCAAACAGTCGCGTGAAATAGTCAATCGCGTCCTTTTTTGTTCAACTGAAAGCAGTCGCGGAACCCACCTCGCAGACACCTTGTGGAAACCCAACTCGTTGACAATGATGTTTTGAGTTCGTTCATAAGAGATGCCTATAATCTCGGCTATCTCTCGAATTTTTAATCTGCGGTCTCCCATTATTAAATCAAGTACTTTTTTAATATTTTCGTCAGTAGTTGACGTCGAAGGCCTTCCAGAGCGGGGTTCATCTTTCACACTCTCTCTACCACGCTTAAATTCTGCTATCCATTTTTTGACGGATGAATATGACAGAGCACAATCGCCTAATGTACTGACCATGTCATCATGGATGGCTTTTGATGATAGCCCCTTCTTATGGAGGTACTTAATGACGGCACGATGCTCGATTTGCTCCATTCGCGGAAATTATGTCCGATTACTTTGTTAATAAATTTATAAAATCACAACTAATTATCGCACACGTTTCGAACTTCACACAATGAACTAGTCTGAACTGAACTAAATAATGTGGGTAGATTTGATTTTTAGAATTGAATGGATCTGTGTTAGGCCGAGTACTTTTCAATCCACCCTCGTATTCTTATATTGCTACTACACAGTACGGCTTTTTCGTTTCATCGAGTTTCAAATCACGATTCAAAATTGACTTTATGATCATAGTAATAGAGTGGTAAATGTGATGGCAGGTGGAGGGGGCGGCTGGTGAACATCCACCCGTCGCTGCTGCCGCGGCACCCCGGCCTGCACGCGCAGCGCCAGTGCCTCGCGGCCGGCGACACCGAGTCCGGCTGCACTGTGCACTTCGTCGACGTGAGTACAACTGCCCGAAAACAACTTGAACATGCGCTTAAAACTATAATACAGTGTCATTTGAGGGACGTATGAGGCCCGGGGGTGCTTATCCATATAAATCAGCGAGGGGAGAGGGGGGCTCAAGTTGTCTGCCGATTATTATACACAAAAACTTGTTTGTATATTACTAGATCGGCCATTCTACAATTCAGTAAATTCTACAATACAATTTAAAAGTGAAACGCACGGGCGCGGACGTGTAGCGAGATGAATAAATTAAGATGGCAGCGAACCACTCTGTTGCACACGAAATCCATCCATTAGACAAAGACGTATATGTAAACAAGACCGGAAACTCAGGGTAAAAACTTTCACAACGAATGATCGCGCGGGCGCTGGCATGTACTAGAGTTGTTCAAAACGGCTATAAATTAATAGCACGCTACAGACTATAAACTACATAGGTAAATATATACAGCGACCGGCAGGCGCGTAAAATCTTGCAGCATGTTACATTACTTGTAGTTCGTTGCAGATCGCGTGCTATACTAGAATATTGAAGTAAAATTTCTGTACGTACGCTTGATTAAGGGAGTAAGCTGGCGAACGGGAGTTGAGTGGGGGATATAAGCAAGCATTTTTTACGTCGCATTTTTTTATAGGAAAAGGGTGACAAGCTAGCAAACAGTCCACCTGACGGTAAGTGGTTGCTGTGACCCATAGACAGAAGACAGAAAGACAGAAGAAATACAGATGCGTTGTCAGCCTTGAAAACTAAGATGGAATGCCTCTTTTCCAGTAGAAAGGGTCTCCGGTTCTCTACACTCACCATACGAAACACAGCTGCATCATTAAGCTGCTATTGGACGCTGGTATTCTGTGAGAGCGTGGTCCCTCCCCAGTCGAGCCGACCCATTCATTCTACAACCATACAATTAATATAACTACAGCATGGCTCTTCCACGAAATAAATAATAAATTTGCGTTTTATTATAAAGTAAAATAAAGTAAAGAAAAACCAATGACCTTTCCTTCATGCTTTTCAGGCGTAGGACTGTTTATAATTAATGTAAACGTTATTTTAACTTTAACGCAAATATTAAATCAATTAGGCTTGTTTAAAATTTAGTGATCGCTTAAACAAAAATTAACTATTTTACATTGTACACTATTATATACACTTTTGTATTTATATTTTATTTACGTTTAAAACATTAGCTTAGTTTGTAGTTAGTATGCATTAATTAACCATCGCCTAACACTAAACTAGGTCGCGGGCGATGAATAGCGTGCTGCTGTATTAAATTTGTTTGCGTAACACGTCCGGTCTCAACAGCCAGGCGCCAGCGCCACTGTTAGACTAGAGCTTAGGCTTGGGTAATAAATATCGATATACCGGTATTTTCTTATTAAAATATAGAATTCATATCAATTTCGATATATTCTAAAATTAGGCAAAACATATAAGTTTATTTTCCGCCGTCCAACTGTCCAGAAAAACCTTTTTGGTCCTTTATCGTATTACATCATGTATAACATGACGATATATCGATATATCTTTTCACTTACTCATCCCTACTAGAGCCAGTTGCCCGCTTGCAGACGCCGCGCAGTATTCATAGCGCCGCTATAGCGCTATGAATACTGCGCTGCGTGCTATGTAAGTAGCCGCTATTATAGCGGCTACTTACATAGCACGCGCTGTGAGCTATGGAAAGATAGCAGTGCGCTATAATATGATGCCATGCGCTATATTAACCACCACTAGCGTGTAGTGGTTAATATACCCCGATAAATATGCCACGCTGTTGTGTTTTCTTTTACGACAGTTACTGTTTTTAGAACCGAAAGAAAATTATATACTGAAATAATCTTAAAATCCTGTTTACAAAGTGTGCACATAAATAGTAAGCGTTTTTTTAAGTCACATTAAACTAAATTAGTATCAGATTGTCTAAAACAACGGTTGCGGTTTACAAAACAAAGAACCAGATCGCAGTTGACTAAAGGAGTTATGGCGAACTGATCTTACCTTAGTGCACAATGTATTAATACTTTTGTGTCCGTGTAGTAGTATACATAGAAATCTTAGCTCTTAGTTTGTATTCTTCCGTCTCTTAAGAGGTTCTAACAAAAACCAATACGAATTACAGCATGGTGTGGACACGGGCCCCATAATTACCCAGGAGCGCGTGCCCGTGCTGAAGGACGACACGGAGGAAAGTCTAAGCGAACGTATCCACCAAGCGGAACACCGCGCGTACCCACGAGCGTTGCGCCTGCTCGCGACCGGCCGGGTCAGACTCGCGGCCGACGGACAACTGATATGGCACTCCTAGAACATGAGACCAGCTCTCTTTATACCTGGATAGCTCTTGTAACACACCTTACTAATTAGGACAGCCCTCTCATAGGAAACACCTAGCCACACATCCCTGAATCACACATTGTAGACTGGGACAGTTCTTATAGCACTACTACATCACACCCGGCTTCCTCTTTTTCAAACTATACAACCATACACCTTGCTAAACCAATCCTAATACCACCAAGGCCGTTATCTTACCTTGAATATATTTCCTGAACCAAAAAAAATATTGTTAACATACTATATCTGTCAAAACATTACACGTTACGGAAATAGGGATGTCCATATTCTTTATGAAATTGTTTACTTGTAAATACGTACTCAAATTTACGAATAGTTGTAGAATATAGTTATTTTATGCAAGGTAAATTTATAATAAATGTTATCGTAGTTAAAATGTTATATGTAACAATTCAAATCGGTTATTTATATATAAGTTCTATAGGCACATAAAATAACTATTTGTACTAAGAGTATTTCCATAACTGTTTATTTTATTGAAACTGCATCAGATTTTATATATTCATAATTATCTCTAAGAAGAAATGTTACAGAATGATGTATTTGTATGTTATTTTGCATAATTATATATAAGTTTACAAGTAGTAGGGGTGATCGATGTTGTAAAACTTCGATGATGACGTCAATAGCTCAACATCGATGCTGAATTTTTGTTAACCACAAAACATCAATGTTTTGTATACATTATTTCAAATGTATTAAACACTGTAAAACACATTGTTTTAGTGTTTTACTGTTACTCAACGTTTAGTATACTAGTCACTTCAATTCGTGACGTCGATATTGCTGCTATTGTGTGTTAGACATAGGGCATAATCGATATTATAACATCGACATTTTTAACATTGTTCGTTTTCGAACACTTATGATCATCGAACATCCCTAAAAAGTAGTGCCATTAGCAGTAGGTATATTTCTGCCTAATTATAACAGATTTTGTAATACAATAACGTTATATTATAAGATATATTTTTATCGCTGCAAATTTGTCTTCCATAAAATTGTGATATTTGAGGAAATTTGAGTGCCTTTTCATTTGCGAGTACATTCCAGTATCAAAAATTTCTTACAAATATAATGTTTAAATAAATCCGCGCTAATCTTTATTTCAAAGGCGAATTGCATTTATAGATATATATTATACTAAAAAACAGAGACAAAGTCAACTCGAATATACTTTTATAAAATGTTTACAATTGTTATTTCGAATATTATAAGTAAGCTTAAAAAAGTGGTAATGAACTGAAATCAGTTTAGTTTTTGTACAATGTTAAAAATAAAATCAATTTTTATCTTTTTCTTTTGTTTTATTTAAAAATAATATCACAGAAATATTTCTAAGCCTAAGTTTCTACAGCGAAACCAAATTGTTTTTTTACACTAATGTAATAAAAAATGTATAAAACTACAGTGAAAGATGCATTTTCATTTTTAGAAACGACCTAGGACATAAAGATAAAATGTTTTGAAAATGTTAATGTTCTTTATCTCGTCATATAGGCCCTACAATAGATATTTATTATTTATTACACTTTTACAATTTTATTCAATATATAACATTTGACCATCATGGTATATAACATACAATAGTTTTTATTTTATATTTTATAAATTTGGTCATAAACTTATAAATTTTATTTTATTAAATTATTATTAAAATATTTTTATATTTTATAAAACTAGCGTAACAAATTTACACATCTATTAAATTAACTTTAATTATTTACACTTTTCTTTTCCTCTTTTTTAAATGTTAGTAATTCACCTAAAGTGCTAAAGAAAAAACTAATAAAATCGTCACTGTGACCTGTAGTTGCATCTACAGGTGTTTTCACCTCTATGTTTTCATTACGCTGTGCAGAATGTGCACCATTTTTTAGAATATCTTCACATATCTTGTCGAATTCAACATGAAATTTTTGCTTGTTAATGATGGGAATAATTAGATTGTAGGTGTTAATTTTTAAATTTATAGAGCTTGCTAAGTTTTTATTGCTCTCATATATCTTCTCCCATTTTATTTTGTCTTCTTCACTTAATGGAAATGGTCCTAGGGCCATTCTATCTCTTTTAATTTCTTCCTTTAACATTTCAATATCCTGGTCTATTTCTTTCCTCATAGTTATCCATTCTGGGGTGAAGCCATTATTAATAAGGACCTGTATGAATACAAATTGCAATGATTGTTACTGGTAGACTACTAGATAGTGACAATACATTATTCTATACTTATAACATGTACAACTTTTATCAAAAAGTAAAAACCTACTTCAAACTGCTAAAAAACAAGTTATTTATTTGCAACCCTTAGGGGTGGAATTTTTCCCAAATTTATATGGGACCACCCCAGAAGAACAACCTATTTAATAAAAAAATATCATCAAATTGGTTTATAATCTGCACATACAATAAACACACTCAAATTGAGAACCTCCCCCCCTTTTTGAAGTCGGTTAAAATGTCCCACAATGTTTCTTATTGGTTCTTCCCAGGACAGAAGTTTTTTTACAAAGTTGAACAGTTGTAAAACATAAATGACTGATGACCTACCTCATTTAATTTGTGTGTTGTAAAATCAACATAAGGATTAGTATTTTGATCTTTTAGAGGTTTCCCCTTTCCACTTAAATTCTCAAATTCACCTTTCGATATTGACTCCTGTATCAAATCCTCTACTAATCTATCAAACCCATATTTGGTTTTAATATCATGTATCTTGCTATATTTCTCTTTTTTAACAAGAGCTTTATCTGAAGTTATGGCTTTGGAAATGCGATGCTCTATGACGTTGGCAGCAGCTCTTTGAGCGCGAGTTTGAGTCCACTGTCTCTGACGTTGTGATGGAGTACCATATCCCACTCCTTCATAGCTGAGATACTGCCGATGTTGAGGTGCTGTATGCTATTTAAACAAAAATGATTTATATTTAACAGATAATGGTTCTTCATGATGTCATATAATTTCTTGTTATTAAACTAAAACTGTAAATATTCAATTTATAAGTTTTTAATATTAAACATGAGAAAGTAAGAATGGTAAAATCTAGCACACGGTTCATGATAAAGTGGATTTTTTGACCCATTAATACCTAATGATTTCTTAAATTTACTACACTACACATTGAATATAATTTTATATTACATATTACATAGGTGAAACAAAAAGATCTATAAAAATCCGCGTGAAGGAACATATAGCTGACGTGAAGCACCGACACTCCGGGAAGTCTGCAGTCTGCGAACATGTTCAAGATCGTCCCCACCATTACATTAGATTTGATAAACCACAAATCCTCGCAAAAGAACACCGATTCCTACCAAGGATGATACGCGAGGCTATTGAAATTAAAAAAAACATCCAAATTTCAATAGAGAAGATGGATGGGTGCTGCCATCTGCTAGGGATCTTACAATTAACAAAATTAAACCCAAACCCAAGCATACCACTCCAGGACTTCATGACACTATAAGCTCATTTTGCGTAAATCGGACTAAAAATTAATATTCAAAAACTGAAGGTAGCCGGACTAACTATGACATTGGGATCTCAAACAAACATCGCAGTCCCCCCCGGGACCATGGGTGCTGTAAAGCACCCGAAACGTCGGGATAATAGATATAAATTATAGTAGTAATTTAACCATTCAACCATTAATACCTAGCTATAGTGTCCGTACGCAGATGCATTGTCGTCCCCTAGGATCAAAGCAGAAACACAGCAGTATTATGCTGCTCATTGATATTTTCAGAAAAAATAAGTTTAGATTTCAACAAACGCGATAAAATCCGTAAAAGTAGTTTTAATCAAGTTTAGATTTCATTAAAATTCACACAAAATGAAATATACCAATGCCACAGCCTAAGAAGAACATACAGTCAGTCATAGCGTTTGATGTGTCGGAAGAGCCGACATAAACAATAAATTGCTAAGGTTGTCAAAACTGTTTTTATTTTATTTCACATCTAAACAAATTTATGTAGATACAAACAGTACAACCAAAGAGATTTTTATTCAATTTTATACAAACAAAATGTGAAGAAACTTTTTTCCCAACTTATTATTTGCGTGACAGGACAACCCTAGTGGACAACTTCGAACTCGTGGAATTACGAACGAAAAAGGAAAAAAGTAATGGCGGAGCGCTCCGCTTGTATCTCGTCCCAGACCTCACTGCAGGATTGCCACCGTTTAGATGCATTTGATGACTGACTGTGAGTAGTAGTTGTATGCTGTGCTAATGCTGTCTCTTACTTATATAGTACTTGTTATGGTACTTGTGGCACTCAAGGAAAGTAGGGTATTTAAAAAATGCCAATGGAATTTTTCCCATGTATATTTATAATCAAATAATATTGTTAATAAAAAAATTAAATTGTATCCAAAAATACCCCGAGTAAGATCCAGAATTCACGCAAGAAGTAATTTTGATAGTAACTGCAGTTTTAAATTCAGACTTGTAAATTATTTATTGACTCATAATAAAAATAGGGTTATTCTTGAATTTACCCAATATGCATGTAAATGGTCTCCACATCTTTATTGGCTGATAGCATTACAGCCTACGAAAGTGCACTGTTGAATATAGGTTTCCCAAATAGATTTCTTCACAGGGGGTACATTTGCCATAGTTGCCATGCTCAGCAAGCGGGTTGGCAGCCGCAGTTTTTTATTATCTCCCGATTTAATTCCTCTGTCGCCTCTTACAACAACAAAACCTGCTATACCTTAATTATGTTTTAAAATATTGCTCAACAATTTAACATTATAACTGTGTTGTTCTTTTGTGTATCACTCCATTATAAATAACCCTGAACTGTCTTTAATGATTTTTTTTCGTTTTTACTGCACATGTGGCATGAAATTGAAATTGTATATTATATAGTTATAACAAAATATTTTAAAAATCTGTTAATGATAATGTTACAACATTACGTAATAGTCAGAAAAAAT